CGATCAACCAGCGTACAACTTCCACGTGTCCTCCTTTGGCAGCATTTACCAACGTTCGCACGTCTCCACTATCAACCTTTCCCCCTTCATCCAGCCACTGCAGCGCGTCCAGTCACCCTTGACTAGCAACGTAGCAAGCATCGACCGCGCTCCAGAAGTTGCCCGTGAAGCGGGGGTCTCGGTCCGAGACAATCGACTCAGGGAGTCCGTGTTGTCGAAACACTCGGTCCAAGAACAGCGTTGCTGTAACTTTACCATCGATTGTGTCCGGCACAGCCGCAATGTGAGCCATCTTGCTCAGTCGGTCCACGAAGACCACGACTCCAGTGTTGCCCGCCTCGTCCGCCGGCAGGCCAAACACAAAGTCCATACTCATGGATTGCCAACAGCCCGAAGGGACAGGCAAACTCGCCAACGGCGCTGCAGCATGAGGTGACGACTTCACTCGGTGGCACGTCTCGCACGTGCGCACATAAGTGCTCGTCCCCTTGTACAGCTTCGGCCACCAGTAGTGGGTGCTCACCGAGCTGTAGGTCTTATCACGGCCAAGATGTCCGGCCAGCGGCGTGTCGTGTGCCTTATAGAGGATGCGGTACTACAGATCCTCATCATGAAGGATGACCACGCGGGGCGTATCCTCGGGGCCAGTGTTGTAGAACAACAGGCCATCATCGAGGGAATAACGGTGTAGCCGCGCGCGCAGCCGCGCTGACAATTCTATGTCCGAGTCTTGAAACTCCTTGCTCCCCAGAGCCTCCAGCAACGCGACACAGGTGTCGTCCTTGGCATAAGCCGTTCGGATCAAATCCGGTAATGACGAAGTCACGGTCGTTACATGAGCCAGCTCATAATCCGGCCTGCGCGACAGCGCGTCCGCAAGGACATTCTGCCTGCCAGGCTGGTACTTCACCTCGAAGTTGTACTCCGCGAAGAAGGACAACCAACGGGCCATCCTTTGCGAGAGGTGAGGCGACTGAGCCGCAGTCCGTAACGACGCATGATCCGTGTAAATCACGAATGGCTGAGAGCCCAACAGGTGCATCCTGAACTTGACGAGCGCATACTTCATCGCAAGTAGCTCTTTGTCATGGACAGGATAGTCCTTCTCCGCAGCCTTCAGCTGGCGAGATTCGAACGCCACCACGCGCTCGCACCCATTGGCGTCTGCTTGGAGCAGTGCACAGCCGATGGCAAAGTCCGAGGCGTCACAGACGACACTAAACGGACGAGCGGGGTCTGGCAAAGCCAGAATAGGCGCATGAAGGAGACTGTCCTTTATGGCCGCGAACGCATCTTGATGCTCGGTGTCCCAACACCACCACACATCCTTCTTCAGGAGATTGGAGAGTGGCCGAGCCATCTCAGCGTAGTTCTCGCCGTACTTGTGCAAGTAATTGGCCAAGTCAAGCCACTTGCGAAGATCCTTCTGGTTCTTGGGAACTGGCCAGTCAACAATGGCCTTGACCTTGACCGGGCCGGCCCTCAGGCAAAGATGCATTTGTCAATGTTGGCGTACAACTTGTTTTGACGCATGCATTCGAGCACATCACGCAGGTGCTCCACATGGTTCTCCATATCAGTCTTTCCGTGCTCCGCACGACTGTGGACGAAGATGTCATAGAAGTACGTTTGCGCGTACGCCCGATGGGGCCTGAAGATCTGCGTCACAAGACGATTAACGTCGCTGGCGCGTTCGAAAGCCCATGGGGCATCACCAACCACTCCCAGAGCATGCCGCTCGGAGTACTCACCGCAGTGAGAGGAATGTCGCTCGTCCTCATGAGCAATTCGTAATATCCATCGACCAAGTCGAGCGCACTGTACATCGTACCTCCTGTCATGCTGTTCCGAAGAACATCCTTCCGAGGTATCGGCGTCTGCGCCGGAATGGTAGCGGCATTCAGCTTGTTGAATAATGCACTTGCCATTCGGCTTTCTGACGCAGAAGGTCGGCGTAGAGTGTGGAGACATACTCTCACGCACCATGCCCGCCTTGTGCTTCGCACGGAAGAACGCGTCAATGACGTCACACTGCTCCTTCGGCAAGGGCCACTGCCTCGTCACGCAGTACTTCGTTCCCGGAACGAGATCGATTTCTTGTCGAACACCTCGATCCGAAGGTAGCCCCGAGGGCGGCTCCTTCGAGACCACGTCCTGGTAATCCTTTACCACTTGATACAAGGGATCCGACGGGTCCTTCAGGATCGACGATCCGCTCCGCGCATTCTGCGCCTGCTTGGTGTTTTCCAGGACAGCTTCATCCAGAAGCGAGGACGAGTTCAACTCTTCTTTGGGTCGTATGGCCACTACCTCAGCCAAGTCTCCAGCCTTCAAGGCTTCGCCGAACTCGGCCAAGGACATCTCCTCCAGCTCCAGGAGAGCAGACAGTGAGGGCAAGTCGTCGAGGTTGATACCTCCGTCGACGTTGCCCGTCACTACATTCACGAGTGTATAGAGCTGCTCGCTCTCGCGTGGAGCCTCACCGCTCGACACGCCCTTCTCGACTCGTGAGGTCGCAGACGCCTTGCGTCTCGCAGCCAGCGCTTTGCGGCGCTGCCTCCTCTTCATGGACACTGTCCGCCCTGAAGAGCTCCGTGATTTCGCGTGCGTCTTGACGCCAGGTGTCACCACCTCGTTCAACTCCAGGGGGGCTCCAGTGTCTTTACCGACACTCGTGAAGAGCTGCACGATCCGCAGCCTCCACTCAGTGGATTACGTACCACCCCACGATCTTCATCCGGGCAAAGCCCCTTGTTCTTCGTCATCGTGCCGACCGCGCCGGCGCTGGCACGCAGCAGAGCGGCGCCCTCAGACGCACGCCCGCTCTGTAGAATTCGTGCCGCTCCACCTGCCGTCCGCGAGCCACGCTCGGAACGCTCGTTGTCGACACACTCAGTGTCCACGAACTCAGAAACTCCGATGTCCAGCACATTGACCGACTCGGTCCAGTGCTCGCGCCAGAAGCGCTTCTGCTTCTTAGCAGAAGTGGGTTCATGACTCGTCAATGCTCCCCCAGGAGAGAAGTGTGTAGCACCAAGGGTCTTCGACCTCCAATCGATCCACGGCTCGTGGCGTTCCAGCGACGCCATACCAAGGATGAGATCATATCTCGAATCGAGGTCTAAGACCAGACAGCGTTCCACGCTATCAAAATCCAAACACTTCACGCCCAGGTCCACAGGGACCTTAGGCACCGTGACACGAGTGCCCGTCGCGAGACGAACAGTGACGATGTCACTCCCGCGCGCTACCAGCGCCTCAGCATAAAGCTGACTTCCGTCCATCGTAGAACGCTGGGCGTAGTCACCCGACGCTCCCGAATCGATTAAAATCGTCCGTGGCTTCGTGAAGCCCTTCACCCAAGCTTGGACAACTAGCAAGCCCGGCTTGCATACACGTTCCGTGTTAGAGAGTACGGCTCTCTTCGGGGCTAAGTCCTGTCGACCTCCACCTCGCCGAGGCTCAATAGAACTTAGTTCTTCCCCAGTAGGCCGCCCTGCGCCTACTGGGACTTCTCGTTTCCCCGAGACGAACCAGAGCCCTGGCCCGAACTCGAAGAGCGGCTTGACGAAGCCTGGCGCTGATGGACCCAGCACGAATGTGACGGGTGTCACCGCAGATGAAGCATCTGCGGATACCGCGACGCTGCTCAGCAGCACGAAGCTCGGCTTCTTCGTCTTCAGCATAGCTGAGGTCCATGGGTTCCGGACCACTCGCGCGCTAGCGTAAGACGCATTCCACCCAAGTCTCGTCGACTTAAAGTTGTGTTCCGCATTCAATGCGACGCTCACAGCCTCTTCAAAAGAGCTTGGGTGGGTTCGGAACACCTCCGTCCTGGTAATGCCAGTGCGAAGGCCCTCCATGAACACCGTAGCGGTGACTTCCTCCGGCAACGGGTCAGCAGACATCCCTGCAATGAGAGTTCTCAGCTCTTGGACGTAGCCCACCAACTCCTTCTTGCTCTGCCGAGTAGCCAGGAAGCGTGAGCGCACGCGATACGCCTCGTTAGGCGGAGCAAACACTCGGGACAATTGCTTTTTCAGCTGGTCCCACGTCGGGAAGGCCACCTCGACCGACGTCCCGGACGTTAGTGCCCACTCTCTCGCTCGCCCACCGAGCTTCGAGATAGCTAGTGCCACGCGCTACGACTCCGTCCGGAGTAGAGCTGAGCTCATAGCCATCTCAACCTCACGGGTCCAAAGCATCAAGCTTTCACCCTCCTTGCCTTCGAAGGTCTTCACGCTCAACATAAGCGGCTTGGGTCTTGTTCCCGCGTCGGATGACGAAGCGGGCGCTTGGGGCACCGCGGCCGTTGCCATCCTCTGCTGGAGGTGCTCTAGCAGAGCAATCTCGTAGCTTGAAAACGCCTCGAGACGCGCGTTCACCGCGTCGAGGCCTTGTTGCGCAAGTTGCGTCACGCCCTTCGGGCCCAGCAAGGACATGAGCGTTTTAACCGCATCCTGCTGGTTCGAGGGCAAGTGAGCGAACTGCTCCATTCTCCACAGAGGGTCAGTCTATACCGACTCAGGTGTCGGATTGACTATAAGTGCTACCAAGTGTGCAGCGGGGCTGCCGTAGCTTTAGCGTCAGAGGAATACGTAACAGACGCACAGAGTCTCAGCTTAAGATAGCCCGTTCTATTACCAGAATGTACGAGTCCGTACACCTTACGGACTCCAAGAGTCAACCCTTAACTTTCAAGTGTGTAAATCTCAAACTGAATGCATTTCCCTTTATTGCGGCAAAGCCGCCTACGGGAGGAATTACCTTATCCGAGTGGACATCCACTCGGATTGTGCTGACAACCGTTTATCAGAGAAGCACTTTGATTGGTAGGTATAGGTATCAGAATATGACCTTACAGTTGGGTTGCCAAACAAACTTCAATGAATTTGACAGAATATGATCATGCCTTTGTGCTGTAAATCTAACTCCAATACCTTTCTTCAACAGCGCTCGGTGCTGCCAGTTGTGCTCATTTCTCGATCAGCTTCTCGGCAATGAAGCTGGGCGGAGGGCGAGGTGCCCGATCGAAAAAACCTGCACCCACTCGCAAGAAGGTCGGGCGGCCCAAGAAGAACTACCGGCGAACCTGCCCGCATTGCCCCCGCAAATTGAAGACCGCCCAGGGACTCAAGAAGCACTTGGCGAAGAAATTGAAGTGCGATCTGGCATCCGTCGCTGCACGTGCTGCAGCACGCAAGGAATCGAATCGGCGCGCGGCCAAGCACTACTACGCTCGTAAGAAGAAGGGGGTCCCCCTGGAGGCGTGGCAAGCGATGTTTCCGACCACTCGGGACATTGCACGCTTCCGCGCACAACGCTGATTGAAGCTGGCGTCTCCAAGATGAGCGCATGATTCAAGCTTACTGCTAAGGGTAGAAACCGTTCCCCCGGGCACTCAAAAGTTCGCCATACGCAGCGTTTGGCAGGCACGCAGTAGTAAGGTCTTTTTATTATTATGCCAGAAAAGATAAAATTGAGTTGCCTGAAGCTTAATCGAAAATCTTCAATGCCGCCAGTAAAAACAATAAAAAATCACAACGTTTAGAAAAAATTAAAAAGGTGTTCGGAAGCAGTGTAATAAAACATCGGCTTTGTTTTTTCTGCAATGGGTTTTGGATAATTTATCATCAAATCTGCCATCCTATCATCATATTCAGGACGTTTATCATCATTTGTGGCGTTTTATCATCATAAGAGGGAACGCTATCATGGAAACCACAGCACTTATTATCATTTCTGGATGAGTCTCTTTCGTTATCATCAAAAACATACCATATATTATAAAGTGTAATCCTGAAAGAAATGAAAAATGCGCGGGTCTCACAGACTATGCTCTGCTCTCAGGCCTCCCTCCTACTAACTGTCCTTCGTTTTCTTACGTTTGTGCTTCGGTCTTGGGCCGGGCTTCAATCCTCGTTTACCTTTCTGGAGTGGGGGGATCTGAAGGGCTGGAAGCTTCAAAGTTGTATCGATGCGTAGCTGTCCATCGATTGGGAGCGGGATAAAGCGCTTTGTGTACGTTGCCGTAAAGTGCTTGATCGATAGCCGCTTAGCGTCGTAAACACTGCTGATACGCGTACCCTCGCGAATTGCAGCACACACCGCATGCACACAGGGAAACTCGAAGTCTTCCCACCCTCCACAAGTGCAGCTCCGCGCCGGTAGGTCGACGTGGCGCCAAGGATGAATGTAGCCGTCATGCTTTGAGGGACCCATGTATCGAACCATGTAAGATCCTTCCAGACAGGGGGTTATTTTGCAGAAGCTGGTAGCGGCCGCGAGCTGATCACGTTTTTCGCGCAGGAATGGGGCCAGCTCGTCGTCGCCATGTGCTGTAGCCCAAGTCAATGCGTCTTGACGCATACTAGATGCCCGTTCAGCCAGTTTCAGGAAGAACCAATCGAAAGCATCGAGCGGCTTGGCTTTTCGGTACTCGTTGCCGATCCAATGATTCGCCTGCTCCGAGAGGTTAGATGTCGCTTCACTATAAGTCGGGACGTGGAACCGATCCAGTAATGCATATTTCACCCATTGCACGCGGTCAACGCCATCAAGGTACTCGGCCGCTCGAACGTTTGTGGACGCTAACTCGGAGCGAAATAGCGTAAAATCGTTCTCGCAGTCGCTGTCGGCCATGTCCTAAATGATATTGCGTTCATCGTTGGTCAGCGGGATGCGAGCACTGCATATGTTGCGTTTGATGTGTTCCAAGCAAAACCGATGCCCCGCGAGCGGAAACACTTCCGCCACAGCGCTCAGCAGTCCCTTGTCACGGTCTGAGACAGCCGTAAAACGTTTAAGCGGCTCTAGAGCCACTGAGAAACCAGTTTCAGTTGTCGTAGTTCTCCACAGGAACCAGTGCGAACGCCCAGGGTGTGACCAGCTTCTGGTAGTCTTTGGCGGTCGCAACAAGGTATACTCCGAACCCGTTCATCTCACCTTTGAGATGGGCCCCTGCGAAGCCTTGCATCCATCTAGAAAATTGGGCCATCCGGATGCCAATACTGGGGAGGAAGGCCGCCCTATGAAATGTACCATCACTGTACTTGTCAAACCGCATGAGCGACCCCGGTTTTTTTTTTCACCATGCTGAGCAAGTAGGCTTCCAACTTCTGAAAGCTCAATATCCGATCGCCCTTCAACTGGTCACCAATAGCAGCTTTAATCCTCGAAATGGCTGAGGGGGCCAGTTGCATTCCTTCCGAAAGTAAGAACGCCGCAATAGCGGAGCCGGACAAGGCGCTGACGGACCTATTGTGCGTAGGAAGCATCTTCTGTTCCACAAGTGCTTGTGCCCGTCTACTTTGCTGTGTAGTGTTCCGCAGAGCCTTGGCAGGTCGCGCAATCGTGCCCTCGGCGAACGGGCGAGCGGAGAATCCGACGTTCTTCAAATGGTTGTGGCAAACGTTTGCCTTGGTAACCTGCCATGCACCCGTGCCGCTAGAGACGTTGACAAAAATGGGCAAGCCGCTTCGTCGCCGGGGATCGTCTCGTCGAAGAACCGCTGGTCGTTGATTTGTTTGCAGATGTACTTTGCGTTGGCAGAGCTGCTGGCAGCAACAAGTATCTAGAAGCCGCAAGTCAGAGCAAACTACTTACAGCGCTGCTGGACTGCTTGCTGGGATGCATAAAGGTCAGTGCCAATGTTTTTTCTTCTTGTCGTACGATTCACCGTAGTCCGGCAGGCGGTTGTCTGTGGTGTTGATGGGAGATTCTTCACGCAGGAGACCGAGGGACTTGGCAGCAGCTAAATCAGAGGCGTCCAGCACGAACGGTACTGACCCATACGACCTTGTTGACTTGGCTTTGGATCTCCCCATAGGTGTTGACGGACGTCATGAAGAGATGGTTGCGAGGAAGCTTGGAGGTAGTAAAATGAGCTGAGAATGAGACTTGCAAGAAGATGAAGCTATAAATACATGAAGTAGAACCGAGGACGAGGGCGCTCTGCTTAAAAATAATTCGGGGATTATTACTAAAAATAACAGTAGCTTATTCTTATAAAAGTTTATTGTTACTTTTGGTATAAGAAAGTGGGCTGGTACCTGCAGCAAATTCCGAGTGGATGTCCACTCGGATAAGGTAATTTCTCCGCCTACGGTGTAAATGTATCCGGTTCACTATCTAGCATAGTGAACCCTAGTCATATGCATAATCAGTGGTTCTGAAGCCAGTACTGATTCTCCTACTGATTTAGGTTAGACAGTGTGTACCCACTTCGTAACCCTTCGGGTAACTCTCGTGTAACCCCGTTACAACTAACGTGTTTGCGGGGTACACTTTCGCGGACGGTAACGGAAGTTGCACGCCGAGTTGCGCATGAAGAGCGGCGCCAGTCCTGATCGACTCTGGCAAGCTCTGCGGGCAGCAAGACTTTTGGGTCGTCGCAGGAGCGGAGGCAGTCATCCCAGCTGCAACCAGGACATTCGCGGCATGAACAGGGCATGAAGAAGACGTCGACTAGGCGAAGTACTCATGCATACCATAATTACTTCATAACTTTGACTATGTCGTAGGATGTACGTGGAATATGAATTCGGCAAACAGTAATAGGTCGCTCGAGGGGCCAACAGAGCAGCAAAATCGCAAATACGTTTCCAAAAGACCACTTCCAGTTTGTATTTTTAAATTTGCCAACCTGTTTGCAGCGTACACTAGGGCCATGCAAACTTAGCCTTGCAACGTAGAGTACTACAGACAAGTATAGCCAAAAGTTTTTTGTGCGTGCAGAGGTTGATCGTGGCAAAGGCTGAGAAATAGACAGGTTCCAAGTCGAGTTAGTAGATGCTTCGGCTGCGAAGCAGGCGCAGGAGATACGTTCCAGTCGAATTCCTACAAACGAAACAATATATATTTACTAATTTTGCGACTTTGTCCTTCATTATTCTGATATGTGTCAGGATTTGCCATTCTCGTATTCGAGCGCACCACGCTCTCCTACTGCAGCAGCACGGTCGTGGACAGCAAGGCACCGGAGGGTGTGCCGTCCATGATGGCGGCGACTGCCAGCGTCTTCTCCAGCGGCGCGTCCGGAGCGGCGTGCTGGGCTCTTGAGTCTCTGGTGTTTTCTGCAGTGAAGGCTACCTCTACGATTCTATAGGCTGGTCTTGGGAATAAGTTTTCCCACAACTCCGGGTTTGGTCGCAAAAGGTTGAAAATGTCAAAAGTTTCCCCAGCACTCCGTATTTTGGGAATTACCCTATTTATTAATACTGTAAAACCTCTATTTGTGCCCCGCCCTCTTTTAGTACCCCACCTTTCATTTTTGATCACCTTAGAGGGGATTTGCAACAGTACCCCACCCACTAATAGTACCCCACCTTCCACTTTAAAAATCCCGCCATCCTTGGTACCCCCCCCCCCTTGCCCTTGAACATGAAAGTTATTTTCTGAAATTTATTTCAGAGCTAAGGGAGGATCCGGGTGGAATCTGATTTTGCCATTGGTTGATGTCTGGTAATTTATATACCCAATGTGCTATTCATCAACAGAGGTACTATATAAATCATCAATGATGAGGGTACAGTGCCACTTTACATAATTAATACCCGAGAAACTTCATAAATTTCGTGAAAGTTGCCTGTGTCGTCGCCCCGCTCCGCTTATGTACGATCTTGATGTTGCGTTGAAGCCATCGCTGCACTATCCGGATACCTTACCTCACAGGAAGAATGGTTAACAGATCGAATGCCAAAACAAGATTTTCGAGCATTAGGTTTCGTTTCATTGCTTTTACTTAACGCAAAGAAAACATTTTCCAATCGCTCGTTAACATAAAATTGAAGCGTTGAGCTTTGCCTACCGAATATTAGAGCAACAGGCCTCGGTATAGAAGATAGAGTAACTGTTTGGCCGCCTCGGGCAGGCCCGCAGTCTAATAACGAGATTGTCCAAGAGCACATGGGCCAACTGCAAGCCAACGAGGTTTACAATTCCCTCCTCTTGATTCAGAAAGCTGAGCCTTGAGTAGATCATTTTCCAGCCTTTGAAATTACGAAGCTACATTTTAACATGAAGAATGCATATTTGCCTTTCTAGCAAATGGTAACAAGAGTGCTACACCCAAAGTAATCTTTGTGTGAGGTACGGTGCATCATTCGGCGCAAGTCAGTTGCCGTTACGCATGAATGAGAGCTGAGCAATAGGTTGACCATGTAGTCGTTAGGCGGGGCGTCGACGACGGCAAGCGTCCGCCGCTGCACACGTCTTTCCCCCGAGAAACGTCCACGATCATCACTTTCGGTCTGAGCTGCGCCGTGCCGTGCCGTGCCGACTGCGCTCGCCAAGCACACCGACACCGTCTGCCCATTTGGCAAGACCCACCTTCGCTCCCATCACAGCTATGCCGCTCTGTGTAAAAGCTGGTGGGTCGCGGCAAGCGACTCACGGGACCAATCCCAATAGGTACATGTAGGAAAACCAACTCTGCATGAGCTAGTGGTTGCGTTATTTTTTTCATTAAAAAATGCTCATTCCTTGAATCGAAAAATTGAATCAACAAGAAGCAATAGAGGGTGAAGTGAATAGTAGCCGACAGCATATTGTTCCGTGTGCAGAAGTTGGTCGTAGACGATAATGCTCCAGGAAACTGACATTTTGCTAAGTTTCAAGTCAACTTTGCAGATGCTGCGGCTGCAAAGCAGGCGCAGGAGATGCGCTGTAGTGAGGGTGCGTACTGCACAACAAAATTCCAGCGGAATGGCCGATCCGCTGGCGCGTACTGAATGCAATTCCAGCGGAAATTCGAGCATATTCCAGCGGATTTCATCCGCCCAAATTCGGGCAGGCAGCGGATTGATCCAGCGGATTGAACAGATAGCGCCTTTGCAAACATTTTTTGAGTGAGTGGACCCCATTCACAAGCGGATCTCTGTGGTGCTGGCTTACGTGCTACGCATTATAGTGTCAAAGTTTGCGCCCGTTTTCGACCTTGGAAAGCCGAGGCAAAAGTACCCGTTTTCGCGGAGTGCGGCCCATACAAACTCCTATAGACTTATCGGGTTTGCTGCAGCATCTTGATGTGTCCTGTCTTGAACAAAGAAGTAGCTACCCTGTGAATATAGCAGTTTATATTAATAAGAGGTGTAGCAAACGGAGGCTACACTGTACTGGTATACTGTATACTAAGTATTGAATTCCCCTCCGCCCCGAAAACCAGCTGCTCTGCTAAAGGCGCATTGGTGGTGCTGTTGTGGCGTTGACGTAAAGGTGTCGTAAGTATTACGACTCGTACAACGGGTTCGCGAGAGTCCAGCGGTGTCCATTAATTAGTTCTCAATCGACCTTTCGTTGCGAGCGTGGCACTTGTGGCAGCCATGGTGAAGGAACGATTCATCATGAACCCGTTCACGGAGCTCTCTTTGACCGAGCACGACCACGCGCAGCTCAAGGAGGTCGCGAACAACCTCATCCTGGCCAACCTCGAGAAGTACACGACGTACCAGGACGAGAAGAAGAAGGGCGTAGATCCGCGTCGCTGGAAGCTCTGCAAGCAGCGCCAAGGCATCAAGATGTACGTCGAGCGTCAAGGAACCGCGTCCGTAGGCGAGAACATCACGGGCAACGGGCTGCCTCTGATCTGGGGCCTTGGCAACAAGGAAGGCAAGCTGGACGACCTCATGTTCGGGCTCTTGAGCCCCACACTCGAAGCTATGCGCGTCAAGGCCTCATACGTCGACGACTTCAGTGGAGCCGCAGTGCTCGACAGCATTATCGAGCCCACACTAGAAGAGCCGCTCCAGGCTCTGACCATCAAGTGGATGGAGGCCGACATCCCATTTGCCTCGACGAAACTCGTGAAGAACCGCGACTACGTGTACATCGACGCCACGGGCTTCATCCGCTGGAGAGATAGCGAGCGTTTGGCGTATCACCTCATGCACTCCGTGAACTTCCCGAAGACACCCGATCTGCCCAACCGCGTGCGTGGCAACATATCCGCAATTGCGTTCTGGCGCCAGGTTGAGCCCAACACTATGGAGCTTTACGGTACAGTCGTGATGGACCCTGGTGGTGAAATGATCAAGAAGCTTGCAGTGCCCAGCATGGCCGGAGTCTACTTCTGCACGTTGAAGTATGTCTACTGTGCTAAGATGAAGAAGCTCCACTACATGCTGGACAAGAAGTACGCCGAGTTCAAGCAGAACGGCACTCCGAATCACAAGAATGTCTGCGTGACGTGTTCGGCTTCGATAACGACCCGGCGACTCGGCGATTTCGGTAAGAGCAACAGCACGTGCAAGCTGTGCTTTGGGTTCGTATGCCACGCGTGCAAGATCGTCCGCAAATTGAGTTTCGTGGACCCAGATCTGACCCTCTTGAAGCGCAAGGTGACGTTCTGTACTGCATGCATCCATGAGGCCACAAGTATGAGCTCCGTGGACGTCGCCCGATCGCAGTTGATGGCCAGTGGCAAGACGTACAGGTCGTATTCGGCCTTGCTGTCGTCCGAGTCGTCGGACGAAATCAGCATCAGTAGTGCTAGGTCTGACTTTTAATTCCTGACCGAAGGGCAGATATGCATGCAGCTGCGTAGTTACAACTCTAAACGACCTCCAACTAGCGTCGATCATCCTCTTCAACTTTCTTAACCCTTTCAATGAGCACAATATGTATATCTTTCGTGCTGTGGTTGTTTAGGATCTACTTAGTAGTCGATTCCTGTTCAACTAATAGCGTGACCTTGAGTTGTTGGTTACAAGGGTTGAAAAAAAAGACACTAGCAATAATACTTCATAGTAATGGAGCATCCCAGTCGCGTTCCTCCGTTGAGTTGCTTAGGGGTCGACGCCCTGCAGTGGAGCCTCTACTACAGGCCGACGTCCCCGCTCTCCAAATAAATTCAATAAATTTATCAATCACCATGATCATGTTTTGTTGCGCGCAGCCCCGAGCTATCTTGCACGGACTTGTCATTGCATTGAAGAACTTTGGATTATTTCGGGTTTCTTCTCTCTGCGATAAGGATATTGGCTAGGGTCGGTTGCTAAACAGAGGATGGGGGACCTTGGTAATTGAATTTGAAGGACCAGCTGTGACCTCTTCCGACACTCCAATGGAGGAATATTTTTTAAATTAAAGCTGTATTTTCGATGCAGAATTAGAATATAAGTGGTGTCATGAGTAGTCTTCGCGCCAGTAGTAAACTGTGAGTGTGAGAGTGTGATCTTTTACGCCGCAGCAGTATACCTTTGTACTTCGTATATTGCTCAATTCGTTTTTTTGTCACGGGATTCTATTGTCAGCTGATGTACATGTAGTTCAGTAGCCCATGCTGAATTAGTACAGGACCACACCAACTCGGCGGTTTGAGTGTTGAGCTTTCCATCAGCTATTTTTTTATCAGAAGCCATGGGTAAAAATGCCCATAAACACTTAAATAGTACCTTCAGAATTTCGCCTGCTGTCGATAATCATTTACTGAAGTATTTTTAAGATCATAACCAGCAGCTTCAAGCATATAAGATATATATATATACCCTGATGTGGATCTGGTGATACTGCAATTTGGAAGCAATTATTCAAAGATTGAAGTAGATGTTTGTCTCGGTAGCTATGAAAAATATCGCTGGCGAATCGGTCTTCTTGCCGGGATTTTACAAAATCGGCATGTACCTGATCAACGCGTTATACCTTTTAAACTTCCAAAGATACTATACGGTACTTCAACGACATCTTTAATTTATACTGGGAAAACAGTATTAACCGATACGTATGAGCACCACTCCGTTTTTATGGAGCCACCGTCCCACAATCGGTGAAAATGCGCAGTCGGCTCTCAGGAGCAGATCCGTTCGCTGCGGCAACTGGGGTTCCCTCTCCTACGAGCCTCGTGATACCGAGTTACCGCCTCCCACCCCGCCAAGCAGGTTTAAGATGAAGAAGCAACATCGCAGGGAACTGTGGCGCTTCATCCGACTGGTTCGCAAGGACTGCTGTGCTGATATCCGAACGCAAGAACTTCAGTCGGACCACGCGAGGTGCGCGTACTGCCTGGTGTGCAAGGAGGAAATAGGTCACAAGACTGAAACACGACCGCAGCCAAGAGACACATGGAAAACGTACCACGAACAATAGCTGACGAAGGCTCAACAAGAACAAGTTGCTGCCAAACCCAGTCGCGACGGAGTTGCGTTGTCTCGTGGTTCGCACTTGCAACAGAACCCAATCTGCTGCAAAGGTTATTAGAGCAGAGCGAGGACCGGAAGTCAATGAGTTGCTGGCGCTCTAGATCACAGGGAGTTCAAGATGTGTTTGCACAGTGGAAGATACGGGATTGGTACACTACCTGACGCAAGTTTCAGGGCGAGTGGGGGTCGAGTTGCCGAGTCGTAAGAAAATCCGCAAAGACATTGAGCTCGCGGCTCGCAGCAGTACTCGGCCGGAGGTTGCGTGAATTGCGTTGTTGAACCCGCGGTTGGTGGGCAGGGACGTTCTACGGTCCCAACCAAGCGATCGCCTGCTTCAGGCTGCTAACGAAATGGCTGCCGAGCTCTATCCTCTCCCGAGCCGCACACCAATGGATACAGTCGGTAAAGGCAAGAGCTCGATTGCGCGAGGGTGTCTTCGGATAACGAGCTCCGAGACGAAAACGAAACAAGCACGTCAAGGAGCACTCGCGGTGGCTTATTGCCTGGGCACACACCGAGATACGCCAATACTTACGAGCTACCAGCGAGTTAATGTACAATTTTGTTGAGGGGCGAGACGATGTCGAAGATGATCTGTTGCCGTGGTGGAAGCGCAAATCGACGCGTTTCCCCCTTCTGGCTCAGCTCGCCAGTAAGTGCCTTTGCTGCGTGACAACTTTAGTTCCCTCTTGCGCGCTTTACCCTAAATAACAATTCGTTCAACCACGACAACTAGGCGGGTAGATAGATATCAATGAAACACATCACACTATCCTAATGGTGTTTGAGTTTGGATATATCCATGTAAATCATCGACATCACCCAGCACACTTACACAAGCACACCAACGAGATCCCTCTCGCAACCCTCTTCCAACCCACCCATCGTTACCACGCCCACGTCCTCCATTTAGTCCGGTTGGTAAACGCTTAATAAAAGCCCAGCTTTACCCTCCGACTACCATTTCATTCAACTCAAGAGGGTGGTCCAAAATCCATGCGTTTATCTCCCGGAGACGGTTCTCCAAGGACCAGCTGGCATCTTCGTCCGGGTGAAGCTGCATATGAAGGAACAGGAAAACGTCGAGCTGGTTGGATACGACAGCACTAACGACTTCTGGAAACGTAAAGTCATTTGCGAGATGCTTGCGTAGCCATTTCATAACATGTAAATGGCCACTTTGTGCTGCCTTTCTCATCGCTTGAGCCGTGCAGACTTCCGGTCTGTTCGCATGCCACGTCTAGCGGCGGCATCCATTGCAGTCGTTGTGCCACCCTGCGAGCGATGCTCATGCAGCCATTTGACAACTTCGAGGTGGCCATTGCCCGCTGCACCATCCATTGCAGCCTTGGAGCTGCTAACATGAGTATTGGAATGTAGCCATTTTACCACGTCAAGGTGCCCGTTGCGTGCTGCGCGGTCCATAGCAGCCACTGTACATCTCCGACCGGTGTTCGTGAAGCCACTGCGCCACTTGTAGGTGCCCCTTAGCAGCGGCAACATCCATCGCATCTGTTGTGCACCCTTCTTCACGATTGTGATGAAGCCACTGGACCACGTGAAGATGGCCATTGCTGGCCGCGCCGTCCATTGCCTTCGTCGTGCACAATGGTCCAGATTTCTTGGTTTTAGTGCCTCTTTTTCGCTTTTTGGTGCCCGCTTCGATTGACATCTGCAACTCGTGCAAGTACTTCACAATGTCGAGATGCCCATCGACCGCAGCTGCGTCCATCGCAGTACTAGTTGTGAGCGACATGTCAATATCTCTTACGAACAAATTCAGGTTGGGTTCGCCGCCGTACTCGGCGTATAACTACTTCACCAGATGCCCTTTCAATGCGGCTTTGACCATCGTGTCCCCCGACACGTATGCGGTATCAACCCGTGGTTGGATTATCCGTGTAGGTAATCTTGGCGAAGATAGTTGGCGTTCGACTGGGTGTACCCACGAAGATACTTTGCCACTTCGAAGTGCCCTTTGACAGCGGCAAGATGGATCCCAAGGTGGACTTCGCAGCTGAAAGATGCAGCACGCGACTCAGATACTTGACCGCATTCAATCAGCCACCTCACAGCGTCAAGACGTCCGTTCTCCGCGGCTTTCGCAACCAACCCCGCGACCCCATCCAGCTGCACTCGTTCCGCCAGCCATTGCAGTACGTCCACGCGTCCCTGAGCCGCAATATCACGTACGGGAGCGTGTTGTGCCCTGTTTCCAAGCCTTGCAAAACCTCGCGAAATCAGCCACTCGGCCACAAGAATACCTCCCATCTTCAACGCCGACCAAAGCGCCGCGTTCCTATCGAAGTCTGCATCTGGAAAACGCCGTTGCAGCCACCACACAATGTCACTACGTCGACCCTGGACCGCCGCCGACATGGTGAGATCTCCCCACTCCACGTGATGTCCGACCTCAGTAACCCCTTTCTGCTCCAATACTCGAGTGTCATTCTCGTAAATGAGCTGCGAAATCTCCAGTGACCCAGCCAAACAAGCTGCAGCCACCAGCTCTGACGTCACTCTGAGACCTAGGAACGTGGTCAAAACCACTTGAGCAGCTCCAAATTCTTTCGAGGCACAGCGTCCTCCAACCCAATCGAGAATAGATATTGCTGGTAGTGTCGATCTGTGCGGAGGAACTTGCGTAGCCAAGTCTCTTCCGTCAGTTTGCTGTCGGAATTTAGGAATTGGTCGCTGCTGTTCCAGATGCGATCTAGAAGCGTCACAAAGCCCAATTTGCACGCTTCGAGCGGGGTGAAGCTCGCTGAATTGTCCAGGGACTGGGAGACTGCCTCAGCGACGTGAGGGAGACCCAGGAACGCGGAAGACGAGTGTGGCGAGAATGCGCTATGTGGTGCACACGGAGTCGAAGCTCTGAAAACTTCAAGCAGATGTACCCATGTTGAACATGGCTACATGCTTGGTTTGATATGGCTTACACTGAACCATGTAGCTTATCATACATTCTTCAAGATACCTGTAAACAAGCCGACATGGCGTGCGCTGTTCCGCCCCTGCTGGCAGTGAGGCTCGTGTTCGGCGCCAAGACGGAGCTCGTGGACGTGCCTCACCTCATAGAGAGCATGTCTGGGTTGCTGGACACTTCGGTTGACGTCCCTCCGCTCCGGGCGTGTAAACTCGGTTCCGTAAAGTTACTGGATCGCATCTGGAACAGCAGCGACGTTTACGCTCAAGACAGCACCGCTGTAACAAGCGAAACTTTCACCCTCCGCAAGTTCCTGCGTGCGGACCGTCACTACCAGCAATATTTCTTCACTTCGACCTTGAAAGAGGCCGCTCCAAGTAAAAATTTGGGGGTGGTCAAGTGGATTTCGAGCAAGTTCCCAACATTTCAAGTTTCCTCGGAAATCGTGGCCAGGGCGTGTCTAGCTGGAGCTTTGGACATTCTGCAGTTCTTTCATGACAATTGCACTCAAGTGTTGGAGAAAAGGGAGAAATTTGGGGTGGGGCATCCAGTTGACTGGGGAAATTTAACCATGTCGGCAGCGATTTTGGGTCGTCGAAGTGACATTGTGTGGTGGCTGCATCGCCACTTTCCAGACGCCAACTACAATTTGGAGATTGCATTGGAGTCGGCACTAAAAGTGGGGAATGTCTTGATAGCAAAATGGCTGCTGAACCAAGGGGCAGAATGGCGCCGACGCCGGCGTAACCCTACTGAGCGTATTGATGCCTGCTACGTTGCTGGGCAAGAGCGACTGGACGTACTGCACTGGCTGGACGAACGGGGACAAATTGATAGCGGGGACGTGCGAATGTTGGTAAATGCTGCCAAAGGAGGACACTTGGAAGTTGTACGCTGGTTGATCGAGCATCGTGGTTCGAGTACTGCAGCTGTAGCAGATGCAATGCTCGCGACTCACGCCGCTGCAAGCAAATGGCCCCTGAAAGTTGCGAAGTTCTTGCGAGAGTTCACGAAAGAAGCGGAGGGCTCGCCGACAAGTGAACTGCTCGACAGTATCGAGTACAGGCGAGAGTTGGGCAGGATCGATGTTTATACGGTGTCAGGGGAAACATGCGAATGGCTGCGAGGAGGGGGCGCCTCGGCGTTGCTCGATGGCTGCTCGAAGAGTATGGGGACAGTGTCGATTTTTTCGTGGATGATAAGGGGCACCCAATCAGTGTTTAACGAGGCTGCCGGCAGTGGAAACCTCGAGTTGGTAAAGTACTTGCACGGTCTTCGAGGGTGCGATGGCTCAACCTTGAGGAAGCGGAAGCGAGAAGAAGAAACAGTTTTCAGATCGAAGTCAACGGGTATCTTGGCTACGGATGATGCAGCCCGGCATGGGCACCTTGGAGCTATACAATCGTTTCATCAACACCGAACGGAGGGCTGTACCACTTTTGCCATCGACGAGGCGGCGGCGTGTGGCCATTTGAATGTGATACAATGGCTCCATGAGCATTGCTCGCCCGGATGTACAGCTGCAGCTATGGAAAACGCGGCACGATATGGGCACCTCGATGTTGTGCGCTGGCTACACTACAATATGCAAGCGGAGTGTAGCACAGCCGCTATGAATGCTGCCGCGATGAATGGGCACCTCGACATCGTGAAATGGCTACACGCGCATCGAACCGAAGGATGCACTGCAGGCGCGATGAGCTTCGCAGCTGGGCTTGGCGCACTAAATGTCGTGAAATGGCTTCACGCGAATCGGCGTGAGGGCTGCACGTCGAAAGCGATGGACATGGCTGCAAGATGCGGGCACTTCAACGTCATTAAGTGGCTTCATGCCAACCGGTCAGAGGGCTGCTCCGGTTTAGCCGCCCGTTATGCCGCGGAAAACAACTTCTTTGAGGTTTTGTTGTTTCTACACCGTAGTGAGCTCCCTTTCCTTGATGGCTAAGTATCGTGAAATAATGCCTGGATCGTTGAACACCAACCAGTCTTTTGTGACTTGGCGGGATCAAAGGTTATTTTGTTGTTAGTTGCCGTACGATAAGCCACACATTTCACCGTATAAAAAATAAGGAAACACTTGGAAGCATTCTGTAAGGAATCCATCTTTATCGTTCATGACTGTTAAACACCAAGGGATTGGAAAAAGTCCGAGAGAAGAGGGATATCTCCACTTCAATCTCCTTCCTCCAAAATTGTCTGCAATTCCTCGTCAAAGAACGACGCATTCTCGGAATGTCCGTTTGGGACGACGTCCTTGACAATACGCTCTTGTACACATTGTAACAACGTTGAACACTGATCCTGAGCAGTATCGATCGCTCTGAAAGTAAAGTATCATAGCTTTTTGAGCTTGCAATCACAATGTCCTCCGAGGTGATCTTTCATACGAACAACTTCAATTATGCAAGAAACTTTAATACTATGTAGTTGGCAACCCCAACATACTCATACGTAGAATCTGGTAGAAAGACTATCTCTGATCCGCAGCCGAAATTTAACGTTTTACATGTGCATGAAGTCCTAGACATCCACGTCTTGAAACTCATGCCGGTGCTTTATACATCCAAAAGTAAATGCCCCTAGCGATCGTCCTCTAAGGACCAGCTTGCAGCACCCTCCGTACGTGCTTGATGAAGCTGCATTCGGAGGAATAGGAAAACCTCAAAGTTCTTGGATGGAGTACAAATCTCTGGCCGGTGCTTGTATAGCCACCTGGCAACACGAAAATGGCCGCCTTCTGCTGCCTTTTTGATCGCTTGACTTGTGCAACCTTCCGCCCTGTTCACATGAAGCCATTTCACGACATCGAGAGCTCCATTCTCAGCCGCATCATCCATCGCGGAAGTCGTACACCCCTCAGAGCGATGCTCATGCAGCCATTTGACAACTTCGAGGTGGCCATTGCCCGCTGCGCCGTCCATTGCCTCCTTCGTGCAACCAGCTTGGGTATTTGCCTGTAGCCATTTTACCACGTCGAGGTGTCCATTCCGTGCCGCATCGTCCATAGCGAACGTTGAACACCTTACCGCACGATGTTCATGAAGCCACTGCACCACGAGTAGGTGCCCCTTAGCGGCGGCAAAGTCCATGGCTTGAGAGGAGTAATCTTCTTTCCGGTTGTGATGAAGCCACTGAATCACGTTCAGATGGCCGTTGATAGCTGCTCCAGTCATTGCCATCTCGGTGCATTTTGGTCCAGATTTTTTTTGTAGACGCTCCCCTTCCTAGCTCCCCGGCGTTCGCACTAAGCGATATCTGCAGCTTATGCAGATACTTAACAATCTCGAGATGTCCGTGGGGCGCGGCTGCGTTCATGGCGGTACTATTGGGACTCGACGGTGTCCAGCTCACATTTTTCACGAAGATGTCCACGCCGTACTCCGCGTACAGCCACTTGACCACATTCAGGTACCCGTTCAAAGCGGCCGTCCTCATCGTGCTATCAGACACGTTTTCTACGTCAAGCTCGTCTCTGAGCTGCGCTTGCAATTCCTGCAGCCCAGGAGTCTGTTGCTGATCCACGAGAAGATGGCTGGTGTACGGCTTTGTATACTCTCGAAGATACTTTGCCGCTTCAAGATGTCCATTGGCGGCGGCACCGTGAATCGCCAGCTGAGCCTCGCACTTTAACAGAGCCGTCCTAGCCTGGCTGCCTCCGTTAGGAGGACTGCGCTCAATTAGCCAGCGCACCATGCCAAGGTGTCCATTCTCCGCAGCCTTGACAATCCACCCGGGAACTTTATCCAGCTTTCCCCTCTCTTCCAGCCATTGCAGGAAGTCCACGCGTCCCCGAGCCACAATCTCGTCAGCGATACCTCCATCTCCATGTTCGTCACGCTCAGGCCACGCAGCCCTCTGCGAGATCAGCCACTCAGCGATCAGAATATCCCCCATTGTCAGCGCTACAGTGCAGCGTTGAGGTTGTAGTCTGCGTCTGGAATGTTTCGATGTAGCCACCACACAATATCACTGCGTCGACTCTGGACCGCCGCCGCCATGGTCACACCTCCCCACTTGACGTTGTTCCCCAGTCCGTAAACCCCCTTCTGCTCCAGCGTCCGGTTGTCATTGGCGTAAAGAGCTGCAAGATCTCCAAGGACCCAACCAGACAAGCTCGGGCCACCAACTCCGACGAGACCGTGAGACCCTGAAACTTGCTCAAAAACCACTTGACCAGCTCCACATTTTCAGAATTAACGGCCTTCTCCAACCCAAACAGAAAGACATATTGCTGGTAGTGCTTATCGGTGCGGAGGAACTTGCGTAGCCAAGTCTCCTCCGTCGGTTCAGTCCCGGAATTCACGAACTGGTCGCTGCTGTACCAAATGCGGCCCAGAAGCTTGCCAGAGCCCAATTTGGCCGCTTCGAGCGGTGAAGAGGTCGCTGAAGTGTCGAGAAATTGGGACATAGCGTCAACGACGTGAGGGAGGCTCTGGAACTCGGCTCTGGAGCGGAGCACGAGCGCCGCCGCCAGCAGCGGCGGAACTGGATTCGGCGTCATCTTTTCGAATAAAAGATGACGTGGATTTTGTATAGCATACTGATTTTGAGTGAGCGTGGTGTGATGTACACTAAATTATTTGATGTTGATTATCACTGGAAATATGCAGGGGAATCCTTGAGTTTATGCGAGAAGATTAACATTTTTGCGTGTGTGTATCGTGGCTGGCGTTGCCGTCGATCCATCTGGTTCAATTTCGCTGCAATTCCTCCGCATTGAAGCTCGTGGACTCCACGGTGGAGTGGGAGGTTCCGGCTCACCGGGGTCGACTCAAATCGGAGAATTATTTTCCTAGGAAACATACGCTTCTCTATGCGGAGGAGAGGGATTGTGGCCAAGCAAAGCCCGTGCCTGCTCAACAGACACTCGGTCTGGCAATCACGGTTCTGTAATCGCCACCATCAAAGCTGCAAGGAAGTCTCCGCAGTAATACGCTGTGCACCCGACGTTTGTCCGGATCGCTCGGGCGGTATCACTTCCAGATTATCGGCAAAGCTCGCTCACCATGGGGAAGGACAGGTTCTCCGACAACCCGTACCCGAACGTGCAGGTATCGGAAAACGACCGCCGCGTGCTGATCGACCTCGTCAGTGGATTCGTCGACGACAACTTCCAGGAGTACGAGGAGTTTGTCGAGATCGACCAGCAGATTGTGGACGAGCGACGCTGGAAACTCGCCAAGTCTCGAGACAACCAGCACGTGTACGCCGCTCGCAATCGAGACGCCAACTTTGAGCCGTGGAAAACCGTCGGAGTGAACGATGAGAAGCCGCAGGGGAAGGCTCTGCCCTCCGTTCTGAGCGTCGGGACGTTCAATGGTGGCTTAGACGACCTCATGTTCGGCGCCGTGAACCCCACGCAAGACAGCATGCGCGTCAAGGCTTCGTACGTGGGTGACGTCGACAGCGCAGCGATTCTGTGCCCCGTGGTTGAACCCAGCGAGGAAATGCCCTTCCAGTCGCTCATTATCAAGTGGATGACCATTGATCTCCCGCTACAGGCTATGAGTCTTGTCAAGAGGCGAGATTTCGTCTACATCGAGGCCACTGGGTTCGTTTACCTTGCGAACGGCGAGCGTGTGGGCTACTATCTGCTGCACTCGATCGAGTTCCCGGAGACCAAGCCGCTGCCGAATACGATCCGTGGGAATCTGTCCATCTTCGGCTTCTTCCGTCAAGTCGACGACAACGTTATCGAGCACTACGCTCGCGGCACGATCGACCCGGGAGGTGAAATCAAGCGCTTTATGTGGTCCTCGACGGCAGTGGAAACGATGCTCTCGGTTGCTAAGTGCGTCCAGTGCGGACAAATGAAGAAGCTGGCGTGGATGTTGCAGCAGAATAACGTGGCAAACAAACGGAAGAGCCACATGCAGAGTGCCCACTGCAGTATGTGCGAAAAGAGTCTGCTCTGTCCGATATCGGGCAAGCAACTGGTTGGATCGAGTACGTGTAAACTGTGCCATGGTCCGGTGTGCCGCTCCTGCAAGATTCGGAAGCGCCTCAGCTTCATAGAGCTGGATGGGAAGCTTGACAAGCGCAAGGTCTCGTTCTGTGCCTCGTGCATTACCAACGCTACCGAGCTGAGTGCGGAGCTGGCCGCGAAAGAGCAGGCTACTGGCTACAATGTTTACACGCGGTTCAAGAGCGTATCGTCAACGACGTCATCCCAAACGGACATTTCAGAGAATTCGTCGTTCTTGGACGACGAATTGCAGGCTATTATGGAGGACAGTGATGAGGATGAAGATATCCCTCTTCTCTCGGATCTTTCTCCGTCCGAAGCCATTCCCTTGGTGTTTTAACAATCATGAACGAGAGAAGGATCCTATAACAGAACGTCAATCGGCAGCGTTTCTGATAGATAGATAGATCTTCTCAAAAGTATCAAATAAAGTTTTGTTTTAGAAGTTAATTGCTGATACTTTACCTACGGGGCTATCTGTGCGCTCCACATAAACAAAAAAAAAGAATCCGCATGATCCAAGAGGTTAAGAAGACTTTTTGAATTTGACGTAAAATATTTGAAAGTATAAAAAGAAAACTAAAATGTCCAAAATATACATTAACGCCAAGTCACGAAAAGGCTTCGTCGATCCACCTGAAATCGTTAAGGGAAAGAGAATTATCTCCTTCTTCAGGCCACGTTAGATGGCATTCATAGTGTAGAAATAACAACACCTCAAAGGAGTTGCTATCCATGGCATAACCGGCGGCTGAATCGGTGCAGCGGTTGGCATGGAGCCACTTAATGACGTTGAGGTGTCGGTATCTTGCAGACCGTTGCATCGCTCTAGATGTACAATATTCGCATGGAGCCAATTCACGACGTCTAAAGCACCAAATGCAGCAGCCAAGTCCATCGCACCGGCAGAGCATCCTTCGGTTCGATACGAGTGTAGCCATTTTACGATGTCAAGGTGCCCATTCTTCGCCGCACAATCCATAGCTGCTTTGCTACACTCAGCTCGCATGCTGTAGTGTAACCAGCGCACAACATCGAGATGTCCAGATTGTATAGCCGCTACTGTACAGCCCAGTGAACAGTGCTCGTGTATTGACCACCCGCCGCGGCCATGTCGATGGCAAAGGTGGTGCAGCCCTCAGCTCCGTGTTGGTGATGCCATTGTACAACCTGCAAATGTCCCTTGCGGGCTGCACTATCCATTGCTGGAAGGGGACACGGCAGTGGCCACGACCGCGAAGACCGTACAAGTACTTTACCAACTCGAGGTTTCCACTGCCGGCAGCCTCGTTAAACACTGATTGGGTGCCCCTTATCATCCACGAAAAAATCGACACTGTCCCCATACTCTTCGAGCAGCCATCGAGCAACGCCGAGGCGCCCCCTCCTCGCAGCCATTCGCATGTTTCCCCTGACACCGTATAAACATCGATCCTGCCCAACTCTCGCCTGTACTCGATACTGTCGAGCAGTTCACTTGTCGGCGAGCCCTCCGCTTCTTTCGTGAACTCTCGCAAGAACTTCGCAACTTTCAGGGGCCATTTGCTTGCAGCGGCGTGAGTCGCGAGCATTGCATCTGCTACAGCTGCAGTACTCGAACCACGATGCTCGATCAACCAGCGTACAACTTCCAAGTGTCCTCCTTTGGCAGCATTTACCAACATTCGCACGTCCCCGCTATCAATTTGTCCCCGTTCGTCCAGCCAGTGCAGTACGTCCAGTCGCTCTTGCCCAGCAACGTAGCAGGCATCAATACGCTCAGTAGGGTTACGCCGGCGTCGGCGCCATTCTGCCCCTTGGTTCAGCAGCCATTTTGCTATCAAGACATTCCCCACTTTTAGTGCCGACTCCAATGCAATCTCCAAATTGTAGTTGGCGTCTGGAAAGTGGCGATGCAGCCACCACACAATGTCACTTCGACGACCCAAAATCGCTGCCGACATGGTTAAATTTCCCCAGTCAACTGGATGCCCCACCCCAAATTTCTCCCTTTTCTCCAACACTTGAGTGCAATTGTCATGAAAGAACTGCAGAATGTCCAAAGCTCCAGCTAGACACGCCCTGGCCACGATTTCCGAGGAAACTTGAAATGTTGGGAACTTGCTCGAAATCCACTTGACCACCCCCAAATTTTTACTTGGAGCGGCCTCTTTCAAGGTCGAAGTGAAGAAATATTGCTGGTAGTGACGGTCCGCACGCAGGAACTTGCGGAGGGTGAAAGTTTCGCTTGTTACAGCGGTGCTGTCTTGAGCGTAAACGTCGCTGCTGTTCCAGATGCGATCCAGTAACTTTACGGAACCGAGTTTACACGCCCGGAGCGGAGGGACGTCAACCGAAGTGTCCAGCAACCCAGACATGCTCTCTATGAGGTGAGGCACGTCCACGAGCTCCGTCTTGGCGCCGAACACGAGCCTCACTGCCAGCAGGGGCGGAACAGCGCACGCCATGTCGGCTTGTTTACAGGTATCTTGAAGAATGTATGATAAGCTACATGGTTCAGTGTAAGCCATATCAAACCAAGCATGTAGCCATGTTCAACATGGGTACATCTGCTTGAAGTTTTCAGAGCTTCGACTCCGTGTGCACCACATAGCGCATTCTCGCCACACTCGTCTTCCGCGTTCCTGGGTCTCCCTCACGTCGCTGAGGCAGTCTCCCAGTCCCTGGACAATTCAGCGAGCTTCACCCCGCTCGAAGCGTGCAAATTGGGCTTTGTGACGCTTCTAGATCGCATCTGGAACAGCAGCGACCAATTCCTAAATTCCGACAGCAAACTGACGGAAGAGACTTGGCTACGCAAGTTCCTCCGCACAGATCGACACTACCAGCAATATCTATTCTCGATTGGGTTGGAGGACGCTGTGCCTCGAAAGAATTTGGAGCTGCTCAAGTGGTTTTGACCACGTTCCTAGGTCTCAGAGTGACGTCAGAGCTGGTGGCTGCAGCTTGTTTGGCTGGGTCACTGGAGATTTCGCAGCTCATTTACGAGAATGACACTCGAGTATTGGAGCAGAAAGGGGTTACTGAGGTCGGACATCACGTGGAGTGGGGAGATCTCACCATGTCGGCGGCGGTCCAGGGTCGACGTAGTGACATTGTGTGGTGGCTGCAACGGCGTTTTCCAGATGCAGACTTCGATAGGAACGCGGCGCTTTGGTCGGCGTTGAAGATGGGAGGTATTCTTGTGGCCGAGTGGCTGATTTCGCGAGGTTTTGCAAGGCTTGGAAACAGGGCACAACACGCTCCCGTACGTGATATTGCGGCTCAGGGACGCGTGGACGTACTGCAATGGCTGGCGGAACGAGTGCAGCTGGATGGGGTCGCGGGGTTGGTTGCGAAAGCCGCGGAGAACGGACGTCTTGACGCTGTGAGGTGGCTGATTGAATGCGGTCAAGTATCTGAGTCGCGTGCTGCATCTTTCAGCTGCGAAGTCCACCTTGGGATCCATCTTGCCGCTGTCAAAGGGCACTTCGAAGTGGCAAAGTATCTTCGTGGGTACACCCAGTCGAACGCCAACTATCTTCGCCAAGATTACCTACACGGATAATCCAACCACGGGTTGATACCGCATACGTGTCGGGGGACACGATGGTCAAAGCCGCATTGAAAGGGCATCTGGTGAAGTAGTTATACGCCGAGTACGGCGGCGAACCCAACCTGAATTTGTTCGTAAGAGATATTGACATGTCGCTCACAACTAGTACTGCGATGGACGCAGCTGCGGTCGATGGGCATCTCGACATTGTGAAGTACTTGCACGAGTTGCAGATGTCAATCGAAGCGGGCACCAAAAAGCGAAAAAGAGGCACTAAAACCAAGAAATCTGGACCATTGTGCACGACGAAGGCAATGGACGGCGCGGCCAGCAATGGCCATCTTCACGTGGTCCAGTGGCTTCATCACAATCGTGAAGAAGGGTGCACAACAGATGCGATGGATGTTGCCGCTGCTAAGGGGCACCTACAAGTGGCGCAGTGGCTTCACGAACACCGGTCGGAGATGTACAGTGGCTGCTATGGACCGCGCAGCACGCAACGGGCACCTTGACGTGGTAAAATGGCTACATTCCAATACTCATGTTAGCAGCTCCAAGGCTGCAATGGATGGTGCAGCGGGCAATGGCCACCTCGAAGTTGTCAAATGGCTGCATGAGCATCGCTCGCAGGGTGGCACAACGACTGCAATGGATGCCGCCGCTAGACGTGGCATGCGAACAGACCGGAAGTCTGCACGGCTCAAGCGATGAGAAAGGCAGCACAAAGTGGCCATTTACATGTTATGAAATGGCTACGCAAGCATCTCGCAAATGACTTTACGTTTCCAGAAGTCGTTAGTGCTGTCGTATCCAACCAGCTCGACGTTTTCCTGTTCCTTCATATGCAGCTTCACCCGGACGAAGATGCCAGCTGGTCCTTGGAGAACCGTCTCCGGGAGATAAACGCATGGATTTTGGACCACCCTCTTGAGTTGAATGAAATGGTAGTCGGAGGGTAAAGCTGGGCTTTTATTAAGCGTTTACCAACCGGACTAAATGGAGGACGTGGGCGTGGTAACGATGGGTGGGTTGGAAGAGGGTTGCGAGAGGGATCTCGTTGGTGTGCTTGTGTAAGTGTGCTGGGTGATGTCGATGATTTACATGGATATATCCAAACTCAAACACCATTAGGATAGTGTGATGTGTTTCATTGATATCTATCTACCCGCCTAGTTGTCGTGGTTGAACGAATTGTTATTTAGGGTAAAGCGCGCAAGAGGGAACTAAAGTTGTCACGCAGCAAAGGCACTTACTGGCGAGCTGAGCCAGAAGGGGGAAACGCGTCGATTTGCGCTTCCACCACGGCAACAGATCATCTTCGACATCGTCTCGCCCCTCAACAAAATTGTACATTAACTCGCTGGTAGCTCGTAAGTATTGGCGTATCTCGGTGTGTGCCCAGGCAATAAGCCACCGCGAGTGCTCCTTGACGTGCTTGTTTCGTTTTCGTCTCGGAGCTCGTTTTCCGAAGACACCCTCGCACAATCGAGCTCTTGCCTTTACCGACTAATCTCCATTGTGTACGACCCGGGTGAGGATAGAGCCCAGCGGCCATTGCCGAGGCAGCCTGAAGCAGGTGATCTGTCGCTTGGGTCTGTAGAACGTCCCTGCCTGCCATCCGTGGGTGTAACAACGCAATCCATGCAACCTCCGGCCGAGTACTGCTACGAACCGCAAGCGCAATGGCTGTGCGAATCTTGTTATTGTGAGTTTGATTTTAATATATACATATTAATGTTGTCTTGCGCTCCTTTTCGAGACCATCCTGCTCCTGCTCCAGCCCCCCTGCGCTTGCAGCTGTAGAGCCGAAGCCGAAGCCGAAACCTGAAGTGCTTTCGCGCTCACGCTCGCGCTCCTATTCTAATAAAGCTCCAACAATCTGCTCAGGCTTGAGCTTCTACTTGCTTGTACTGTTGGAAGGAGCCGTTACCGCTGGCTCAACTGAGCGACAACGCCGCATCGCGCTGTGAGCGCCTCACAACGCTGCATCTGTGCTTTGGATACTTCGCACAAACGACACCACAAGGCTTAGAACTACGACACGCTAGCTAGACAACCGAACTACAAGAGGGAGGCACAGGAGAGAAGAGATAGCAGTAGCTAGCGCGCAAAAGCAAAATAAACTCACTTCACATTCTTCTCCTCGCAGCGCAAGTGAACCTTCCGACATGTACTGCTGCGAGCTCGCATTCGGACTCCTGTCGATCTAGCACTGCATCAGATCCTACTCCTTTTCCAAACGCTTCATCTCCTGCTCCTGCTTGGGCTCCTGCTTGAGCTCCATCCCCTTCGAGCTCTCGATCGTGTGCTTCTGCTCAAGCTGTTCATCCTGTCTGCAGCGGCATATCTCCAGCCGTTGAAACCGGCTACGCGACTCTTCGCAGCGCTTAGAGTCGCGTTTACTATGGGGATCGAAGTGAGCCCATGACCAGCGCTGACTTCATATAGCACAGCCAACGTGACTGTAAAGTCCATGCCCGCGTGTAACTTGAACGGGAGACACGCGGGCATGGACTTTACAGTCACGTTGGCTGTGCTTACCCGTATATGCTACTTGCACTATTGATGGCGTTCAATGCATGAAGATCTGTGGCGTCAAAAACGGTCAGGTGCCTTGACTGTTGTAAGCTAATACCACGACCATTAAAGCCCACACATGTTTTATCTTCTGTGAGCTCGTGTTGGCTCTATCCTGTAGACGGACATCCGCGTGAATTTGCCCATTTCTAGGGATTATGGTCAAAAACTCCATATGGCAAGGGGATAAGGTGTTATCAAGGCACAGGGCATTACTCTCTTACACGATGCCCCCATCTGTATGTCAACATGTCCTCGTGGCAGGTGTCTATTTCGATGGCCGACGAGCTAAAACGGATCTTATCTCTAAGCCCCAATGATCGCGAGCTTCTGACCCGCAGCTTTCGACCATTCAACTATGATGTTGTAAACAACAGCGCATGGCACGCTTCAGGTGAATCCACACACATCTGGAGGAGGACTGCCAGTCAAGGAAGGTTCAAGCTGTCGCTTGAGTCAGTCGAGAACCTGCACCGCACCAGCCAAACAGCAACCATGATGACGAAGGAGCGATTCATCGGCAGTCCGTTCCCGGACTTGAACGTGACTGAGGCAGAGCGGCGAGAGCTGATCGATCTGACCGAAGACTATGTGGAGGAATACGTGCAGAAATACAAGGACTACGTTCTAATCGACCGGCGCAGGGTGAACAAACGACGGTGGCAGCATGTCAAGTCCCGCGACAATTTGCACGTGTACGGTGAACGCTCTCGAAGAGCTCTCGGTCGCAGAGGCACAACCCTCGACAACTCACTGAGCTGCACTCAGCGCTTGAACGTAGTCACGGATGAGAAGGATCTGTCGGTGCTTCTCGGCGTGGGGGCAGTCTCTGGAGAGCTTGAAGACCTCATGTTTGGCGTCATGAGTTCGACGCTGGACGACATGCGCATCAACGCTTCGTACGTGCAGCACATCAACGACGGCGCGGTGCTGGCCACCGTCGTGGAACCGAGCAAGGACGACCCGTTCCGCTCGCTAGTTATCAAGTGGATGGCGATCGACTCCCCGCTTCAGGCCTCCAACCTCGTCAGAAGTCGAGACTTTGTCTACATCGAAGCGACTGGAATTATCAACCTACCCAACGGTGTTCGGGTGGGCTACCGCTTCCAACACTCCATCGACTTTCCTCAGACAGAGGCGCTGCCCAACAAAATCCGAGGCAACTTGTCGGTCTTCTCGTGCTTCCGACAAATCAGTCGCAACACTATCGACACTTTCTGCTGTGCCACGGTCGATCCTGGTCGCGACACCATTCGCGCACTGTTGTCCTCGGTAGTGGCGAACTTTCTGCTGGCGGCGACCAACTACGCGTACTGCGGCCAGATGAAGAAGCTCGCGTGGATGCTGAAGCATCGTCGCGGTGCTTTCTTGTTGTCTGGGATGGAGCGACACAGCAGGAAGTGCGTCGTCTGCCGGAAAAGCACCCGCAGTGTCATGGGGAGCATTGCGGGGAACACGTGCAAGTTGTGCAGCGGGTCTGTGTGCTATTCGTGCAAGATCAGCCAGCGCCTGAGCTTCAACTCGTCGTGTGGGCGACTGCTGCAGCGGAAGATCGTCTTCTGCGGGATTTGTGTGAGCGCCGGGACCAACATGGACGCGACGGAGCCGGCTTCGGACCGAGCGAACGGCTTCGACGCCTTCACGGCCTCCTCCTCCGTGTGTACATTCATCGACTCGTCCGTGCCATCGCTCGATGGGTAGAGCGGTGGTCATGTGTATCGTATATCAATGTCTTCAGTGTCTTAAGTTAAATAGATGTTACTCGTCCAGTGTGTTGAGTGAAAACCATACAAGACGTCTTCGGAAACGTTACCTGATGCCTTGTCTATCTTCAGCTTCTAGCGAATGTATTTTACATGGGATTCGTGGTGAGTGCAGTTCAGTTGCAGTTTGTCATTGTTCTTCATAACGAAGAAAAAAATTTGTGCCTGTGCCTCTGCATCTTCAGACTTTGAGATCTCCCTGCGCGCCGACTACGCTTGATCCCCTACGCGGAAATGTGAGTATTTTTCGCTGATCCAGTCAATAACCTCGGGCGATGTCCACCGGAATGACCGAGTGCTCTGTCAATTCCACGTGGCACTGCGAGTGCAAAACTGCACTGTCAATGCAAGTAATTGGAAAGCCCTCCAACCCCTGCGAGCGAAGCCACCGCAACACGCGCAATTGCCCATTGCATGCTGCTATATCAGCCATTTGTTTCGTGCAGCCTTCCTTTCGATTGGCATGCAGCCACTTGACAACGAGAGCGGGTGGAAACTACAGATAAACATACCGTTTCTACTGAAGGTGCTCCAAAAATACAGAGCGTGGTGCAAATCTACAGAGGGTAGCGACAACCTACAGAAGACACTACCAGTCCTACAGAGAGGTCGTGCAGGAATACAGAACTGCACCACTAAATACAGACGTGCCAACTTGACGACTTTTGCTTGGTTTAGACCCACAATATTCCCAATATCACCGGCTAATGCTTCACAATACGGCTATCCCAAGTTTGTCTTTGACGGATGCGCACATTCACTTACTGGCGGAACTTTGCGCTCGTCAGCCACACCAACGAGCAGCCCGACATACGTTCGTGGCTGGGCAGAGCTGCAGGGTAATGTATAAAAGCCAGCCTCAGGTTCGCCAGCTAAACCTCGACATCTTTGTGCTAGTGAATACTTCGGAGACGTGTAAGAACACAGGGCGAAAGAGTCCGTGGTAGCTAGCATGGAAGATTCATGAGATAGTGGTTGGTTTAATGAACTCGAATCGCTGGCAGCGACAACTTATCTCTTTTGTGTGTTTTTAGGCTGCGTGGCGATAAGAAACATCTTAGTCATTTTGGCCTCCGCCTTCTTCGCTTAGCTTTGTGCTTAGGCCGGGGTTAAACTGGGCCTTGGTCTGCTTCGAGTTGACGGCCCTGGAGTTAGGTATCTGTTGGACATTGGGCTTCGTTGTAATGGCCTTAGTCGAGGTCATAACACTGGTAAATTGTTTATTATCCGTCACGTTTTCGCGGGTTGTCTTCGCGATATCCATGGACACAGAGTGGGCACTACACAATCTTAAGCGCTGAACCTCGGCTCGCCGGGGAAGAGCAGAACTCACTAGTCCCCAGCAGCATCTACTATCTATCGTTATTATGACTGTGAGGTTGAGTGTGGTCGGCACGCAGGACATTGTGGAAAACACCTCCTGGTTCAGTAAGCTCGTCAGCCAGCACCAACGTGCTTGAGCTGCTGCTTAAGGCTTTTAGCGTCAACGATACCAGTAGATACAAACTATAAGCAGTGCGAGATGCAGGGCTGGATCGTTTCGGTGGACAGCTTCAGCAGGTTCGCGGTCGTGCCCGACGGCACTGCCTATTCGCATAGTATCTATCGATCAAAAAGCACGATCGCTGCCTACAAGTGACGTGAAACAGTCGTGAATAGTTCAGGGCAACCAACCGTAGTTGAACGTTGAGCTGAATCGTCCGAGGTGCCGCCGCTGGGCTCACACACGATGTTGTAGGTATCCGGTCTACACCTAATTGAGCATGTAGGAAATGATGAAGCCCATGCGCGGCGCTATTAGCACTGGGGGCACACAGTAATAGATTCTCGCATATCTTAGCTGGGTCGTACGCTCAGTAGGTTAATTAATATCTGGACCCCGTGTGCATCAGGGAGGCCGCGCTGGGGCCAAGGCCTTTGTAGGCCCAATGGACGGACGTGACGGAAGGATAATTCCTGAGGGAATCCCCAGTTGGGCAATTTGAATTTCCTAGCAGTCGCACACTCGTCCTTTCCAACGCCGAAGGTCGACTTCTCGAAGTTTCAAAGCTTATTATCAGAGGGTACCCCAGCAACCAATTCGAGACTGCAACATGCATACGCGGTCCTACTCTGCGTTTGTGTTGGCAGTGGCTAGCAGGGTTCTCAGCGCCGCTCGTCTGTCTGCAGACTCTGTAAGGTAGCTGGTTTAGCTTCCGAGGTATTGAGACGCATAGCAAAAGCTTTACCGTGTTATGGTAACACGGTCGCCTTACCGAGTTATGATAACACGGCCGCTTTACCGTGTTATGGTAACACGGCCGCCTTACCGAGTTACGGTAACACGGTAAGAAGGAAACAGCAGGCATTACACCAACCATATTGAGCCTGCAAATACCGATATTAAGCTAAATTCAGTGTAGACAGGGATGGCAAATCGGCAAGGCAACCTACCCCTTCTGTATTTTGTCCGACGGTCTGTAGTTTGCCTACTTCTGTCTGTAGATTTCACCTTTCCTCCTTGACAACCTCCAGAAATCCCTTCTCCGCTGTTTTATCCATCGCGTGCCCCGTACACCCCTCAGATCGATGCTCATGCAGCCATTTCACGACTTTCAGGTGCCCATTCTGGGCCGCGCTATCCATTGCGATTGTCGTACAACCAGCCTGCGTATTTGAGTGAAGCCACTGCACCACCTCGAGGTGACCATTCCCTGCAGCGCCGTCCATAGCGGCACTCGTGCACCCCTCACTTCGGTTCTCAGACAGCCATCGGACTAACATCCAGGTGTCCGTTCGCAGCAGCTCCATCCATCGCTCCTTCAGTGCACGTGGCGGAGATCGCTTCGTCGTCTCTTCGCTCTTGCGCTTGCCATAGACCAGCGTTTCGATCTCGTGCAGATACTTGAGAACGTCGAGGTGCCCGTTGTTTGCAGCTGCGTCCATCGCCACTGTGTCGACGGATGTCTGTCTGTCATAGAACTTGTCGCCGTAGTCGAACACGTCGACGAATGGGTCATCTCCGTACTCGTCATAAAGCCACTGCGCGACAGCAAAATGCCCATTCTTCGCGGCCTCCGTCATTGTCTTCCCCGACACACCAACATGAACTGCTCGTCCAACGCTTCGTGCGTGCCTAGCTGGAGCTCAAGTTCCTGTTCACGATCCAAAGATGAGGTCGGTCGCTGAACTTTATCACGGAGGAACTTGGCCACCTCAGCGTGCCCGTTGATAGCTGCAGGGAGGATCGAGACTCTCCCCTCTCCACCAAGCTCCGTCAGCTCGCCGGCTTCATCATTCTCAATCAGCCAGCGAACAATGTCAAGGTGTCCATTCTCCGCTGCAGTCTCCAGCAGATTCACAGCTCCCTCGAGCTTCCCCTCTTCATTAGACTCGGAAACTCCGCACCATTCCACGCCAGCCAGTGGACAGCCATCATCTCCCCCGCTTCCAGAGCCGACTCCACTGCCGCCTTCATATCGAACTCTGCGTCTGGAATGTGGCGGTGCAACCACCAAGCAATGGTGAGCCGAGATCGCAGCCGCCATGGATTCACCTCCCCATTCAACACCGTGACCCACTCCATGCAACCCCTTGCTCTCCAAAACCTCACGATCGTTGTCGTAGAAAAACTGAAGAATCTCCATCGCCCCCTGTTCACAAGCTTCAACCACCAGTTCCGACGGAATCTTACACTCGGGAAACTTGGACGACAGCCACTTGACCATTTCCAGATCTTTGCGGGACACTGCCTCCCCCATACTCAGTCGGAACTGGAATTGCCGGTACTGATTGTCCGCTCGGATGTATTTGCGAAGTGTCCATAGATTTTCTGGCATTTTGGGCTCATTATCCTCAAAAATCTGGCTACTATCCCAGATTCGGTCCAGCAGCTTGATCTATCCGAACTTGCTCGCAGTCCACAGAGGCAACTCGACTGAGGTGTCCAGGATGGTGGAGACATGGTCCAGGATGTGCGGGAGACCGAGGAACTTGGGCTTGGACCGGAAGACGAGGGTCACCGCGAGTAGCGGCGCGGGGGGATTTTCCGACATTTTTGTGTAGATGACAAGAACTTTTGTGGGGTGGGGCTTTTCATCAAGGAAAACGAGGCGGTTCGTCAAGGCGATTTGAAAACGGTGGTTCATCAAGGGCGTTTCTATAATCGGCCATAAATCGAGTCAAAAAGATCATCCGTACAAATTGCTAGACTTGTTCATTGCCCGATGGGCTTCATGCATACCAGGTGAGACTTCGAGATCTCTTGGTGTCGTGCAGTCTCTGCGTGGACATCAGGTAAAATCTCACTGACGACTGCGCAGCGATCAGAGACCAAGTGTAAACCGCGAATATTCACTGTAGTCGCACTCCAGCGCAGAATGTGCTCCATCTCGTCGACGTCGACGCAGTCGCGCGAATGTACATCGGCCTAGGCCTGATAAGCGGAGTCCGCTTATCAGGCCAACTCCGCTTAAAGCGGAGCTGCGCGTTGGATCTACTTGTATCACAGGGTTGCCAAGGAAGGAATTGCTGGCCTGCCATTGCCGTCGCCTACAAGTGCATGGAAAGCAGGCCCTAACAGGTACAGCCCAAAGCGCAAGCAACGCGTACATGCACAGTGGGGCTGGTAGCAACCATCAGCGGTGTAAACCGCTCCCAGCGGGGGTCCCACTTCCTAACTGATCAACCTTCGAAGTGCTCGTTTAAATCTGCTGTGCCGACAATAACGGTGCCTTTGTAATCGATTGTATGCAGGCTAGGAGGCATTCCAAGCTAACGTTACTACAATAAAAAATAACATTGAGGTTACTCTAACAAGTAGCCACCGAGCAATACATATTGAAACTCTTCATGTTTTACGCTGGGCCTTTCGGTCGCGACTCGTGACAAGGAATGCCACTCATCATCTCCTCGGCATCGAATGAAGGCGGGGATCGCGGTGGGACAACTTTTAGACTGTGCGTGCTAGAACAAAACCACCCTGGACATACAGCTAGGCTCAGTACGAAATATTGCCCCTCAGCCCCGTTATATATCATTTCCGTTGTTGCTGCGGGTACCAGGCTGGCCTAAACGACTCCACCGTCGAATGTACCCTTCTCGCGATGCGTGACGGCGAATTCAGCTGCAGGATGCAGCGTTGGTTGCCTTCCACGCATGTACTTGACGTTCAGGTGTCATAGTTCTCTGTTGTACACTGCGATTCGGTAGACTGCCGCTCACAGCAAAACTTATCTACATGTATCACAATACCATTCCATGAATCTTGCCGGTAGTTATCAAGCATATCGGACTACTGTTCGACATACACCGTACGTTGCGGTTTTATTCTTTACTGGGAGACGATAATTAATGCTGCTGCGATGACCAGCGGTATAATTGGCGACAAGCCCAATGCGTGCCAGTTTTCTCGCCAAGTATAACTGACTACGGACGTGGTATCCAAATGTGATGGCTCGTTGGAGATAAGTGTGTTGTTATGTTGTCGAGGCAGGTCGTATCCTAAGCGGCTAAGCTAATACCGCTCGATAGTTGGGTAGCTCGAAGGCCGCGACAACGGCTACGGACGCAATGCTGATGTGAACAACGAGAATAAGGTGGGCGGCTGACCGCGGCAAGCGCCTCGGGGCTTGGCTCGGTCAGCAGGTGCTTGGTCTTGCAGTACAGCCCGCATGGGAAGACCAGCCAGACTGCCTTCACGGTGCTGCGCTGTTGGACCTCGCTGTTAATGCAAAGTCGCACGGTCTCAGAGCTACTCATGCGAATCGCGTCTCGGTGACGCGCTCGAGTTCAACTAACTAACTATCAGGACGACAATATGGTCAACTCCTTTTACGGTTGCAACATCGATTCGTAGCAGTAAGCTTACAGATACAAGTTGTTGATGTTGCGTCATTATTAAATACAATCTGTCTGGCGCGGCCGTAGTGTATGCGGGTCGGACGAAAACAGGTTGGGCTTACAAGCTCTTGAAGAGGTACTGCATCAACGCATTTGGCAGCTTCAGGTTCTGACGGGTGGCGTAGACCTCCCGCACGTCCGCGAAACACTCGTACAAGCAAATTTGGCCAAAGATCATGCAGGCTGAACGTCAACAGCAGTACGGCGATGTTCGCCTAGCAATGTGGTAAGGAAACTTGATGGACGACCGAAATCCTCATTGGCGCACTTCCGTCATAATGCCTTGATGAACCTACTCTGCTATACAAATCCTCGACGAGCCACCCTTTTTTTGCGGTCCTTGACGAGCCGCCACGATTACTCGATGAAAAGCCCGTCCCACTTTTGTGATTTTGGATGGTTAGACCAAGATTTGAGGTTTGGCCAGCTGCTTTAGTATGTTCTGCTTGGATTTCGCTCACAGTTGTCTGCATGCTCTCCCGTCGACTGTGTATGGCTTCAGGTTTGGCCCAGTTCGGAAATTGACGTGGTGAGTCAACGGTGTGGTGCTTCGACAGATGATGAAAGTCTGCAGACACGACCGTTTGATGTAAGTACCATTTGGTGTATCTCGAGATCTGTCGAGCCATAACACGAAACGTGATGACCGGGCGGGGAAGATGGCTCGCTGCACGTGGTTGTCCGTGAGAATCAGCTTCTGGACCCTGTATGGCACACACCTGTTTCATTTCTCAATCGAGTCGAGTCAAGTCCAGCCACCGATGCGGCTCCGTGGCGTCGTGCTGTTCGCTGTTGCCGCTCTGGTTACTGGCATTGATGCCAACTTGTCTGTGAAGAGCAAGGAGACGGTAGCCTCCGCGCTATCGGACCAATTTAATTTGCTTCCTTTGGGTGGAGATCATGCACCTGCCAGGAGGTTCCTGAGAGCCACCGACGCAGATGAAGACGAAGAAGAAGAAGAGAGGGTGGGGCCTTCTGCCTCCATTGTCGACAAGTTTAAAGGCTTGATTTCCTCGAAAAGCGCCACGGAATCACTGGAGCAGTGGGTCACGAAGGGAAAACCAGTAAACAAGGTTTTCTCCAGCTTGAGCTTGGGTAAGGTGGGCGACACGTTGTTCTTCAACGCGAAGTTTCTGGATTGGGTCAAGTACGTGGACGACTAACGAGAAATACCCCAACAAGGCGACGTCGACTATCCCGACTCTGATCAGTAAATACGGCGACGACGGATTGTTCCAGCTGATCGAGGTGGCGAAGAAGGTGACGAGTACGGAGACGCTCGCTCTTCGACTCCAAGGCGAACAACTCCAGTACTGGGCGGCATTGGGGAAATCCCCCGACGAAGTCTTTAACCTGTTCACACTCGGCGCAGCTGGAGAGAGGCTCTTTTCAAAGCCCGAGTTCGCCGCTTGGGTCAAGTACGTGGACGACTTCAACGTTAAGAACCCCACCAAGACAACGTCGACGATCCCAACACTATTGTATCACCACACCGACGGCACGTTGGCCGAGTTGATCGCGCTGGCGAAGAAATCTGACGCAACGAACAGTATCGCCACAAAAGTGGGCAATGCACAGATGAACGCTTGGCTCAGCAGTGGAAAATCTGCGGACGACGTCTTCATGCTGCTGAAACTGTACAAAGCGGAAGACGATTTCTTCAAAACCCGCTGTACGACACGTGGACTGCGTACTTGAAGCTGTTCAACGAAAAATACCCCGACAAGAAGACGGACCTGTTCACGACGCTGAGGGCGCACTACAGAACCAAGCCTCTGCTGAAGATCCTCGAACAGGACCCAAGTACGAGAGCTGCGGCCGCCAAATTGAGGGCTGACAAGCTCCAGGACTACATGCGCAGGGAGATTTCCCCCAGTGAAGTCTTCACCCAGCTTGAACTTGAGGAGTCCAAGAACGTGTTCTCGAATCCGCTCTTCAGCACTTGGCTCGACTTTCAACCGGAAATACCGCAAGCAGGAGTTTTGGTACCACATCTTGGATAGGCATTTGGCCGCTCATCTGCCAAGCATGATCGACGCAGCGATGCGGAACCCGAGCACTGAAAAAATCGCTCGGGCGGCGATGGACAAGCGGATGAAGAAGTTTCTACGTCAGAAAGCTATCCCGAAAAAAGTCTTTGCAGAACTTAAGCGTCAGAAGGCCGGCGACGGTCTGGTGGTGAACCAAAACTTTGAGTTTTGGGTCAAGTACGTAAGCGATTTTAACAAACGCTACCCCACGCAGAAGACGACGATTCTGGACAGTTTGTCGCCTTACTACAAGGACACTTCGCTGTTCTAGATTCTAGAGAAGGCCAAGAAGGTGGCGAGTACGAAGGAAGCGGCCTCAACGCTGCAACTTTCGATGATGAACAAGTGGGTGCGCGCCAAGCAGACACCGGAAGACGTAGCTCAGTTGATGAATGTCGAGGTGTCGAGTCCTCTAGTGAAGGAATACGCCCTGAAGTTCGCACGGGAGTGGGGGAATGCTGTTTGAGCGCCGATCTATGGTTCTGACAGGTGGGGAAATATAATGCTGGCATTATATCCATCGTCACGCGGCAAGCTGTTGGATCTTAGTACGTTCGTCTTTTGGCTGCGATGTGGGAGTGTCGAGCACGTTACTGCTGGGAATTGCTCTAACGTGCGTAGCAGGATCACGCCCAACACTGCAGGTACTTGTTCTCGCGTTGCAGCGGTGAAGCAGTAGCAGCACGACGCTGGGAGACCTTCAACCAGTGGACGCGACCATCGTCATGATGACAAAGAAGCGAGCTCAACTGCTACACTGACCTGGTGGCTGCGAACATTCCTCCTTCCTCATCCACCAAGGTTCAAGGTGATCAAGCGACGAGTCTGTCGGCGTCAATGCAAGCCGACAAGATTTCACACCCTTCATCGCAACGTCGTAGCGCTCCGCTCCATGCCACCGGAAAAATGGCGCGAGGTGCCGGTGGTGGTCGGCAGCATCGATTGCTGGCCACATGAGCAAGCAAAGCTAGTGCAAGGAGGCTTGATTGCGTTGGTTCATACATTTCCAATACGTTATCCTATACAGCGTCGGCACTAAAGAACCGACAAAGGTTCATCTTCATCTTCAAGCGTGTGGTCGTGGTGCGCCCTGGCCTATACTGTCGCCTTGGCGTACCGACTTCGACTCCAATTCGTCGGGGACGGCGATAGATCGGAGCTCGTCTCCGACACGGAGCACGTGGCGAATGCGCAGCAGATTGAAGCTCCGGACAGTTGATCCCGAGCGGCTCTGGACGCGCTAACGTGCAGTCCTTCCAGCATACACGCAGTACACACTGACACCTTACAGCGCACTAGAGTACTATCCGGCGACAGGAAGCTCAGGCGCTTCTTGATGGAGCACGACATGCACAATTCGCCGAGACAGACGCAGCACTTGCTGCTAAAGAGGTTGCCCGCCTTCGACCGGCAGGTCACGCACACGTTCTCGACTAATACCGACACCTTGGAGAATACACCGTCGGCTCGACGCTCGTCGCGCTTCTGCTGCAGCATCCACGTAAGCTTCTTCATCTGGCCGCAGTAGGCGTAACGCAGCGGCGCCAGCATCTGATTAGCAGTGGCTCGCACCAGCAACGAGCGCGGGATAACGCCTCCCGGGTCGATAGTACCGGACGAGTAGTGCTCTACGATGTTGGGGCTGGTTTGTCGGAAGAAGCTGCAGATTGAGAGCCGACCACGCACCTTGTGGGGGCGATCTACCGTCTGCGGGAAGTGCACCGAGTGCATGAGGTGGTAGCCGATGCGGTCACCCCCGTGGCCGAGCTGTACGACGCCCGTGGCCTCCATGTAGACGAAGTCTCGGTTCTTGACGAGTCTTGACGTAGACAACGGTAAGGTCATCTCCATGTACTTGATGACCAGTGAACAGAACGGATCGTCCAAGGTAGGCTCCCCTACTGTGGCCAACACCGCCGCACCACCAACGTCGTCCACGTACGAAGACTTGATGCGCATGTGCTCCAGCGTCGGGTTCACGAAAACATGACGTCGTCGAGGTCACCGACCAACCTGCCGGCACTGAACATGACCGGCAGTTCCGACACCGTGTACTTGGTCTTATCGTCGTCAGTGCAGGCGCGGCTGGCGTTGGCAGCGAGGTGCTTCCGCTGTCGTCGAGCCATGTCACGCTGCGAGCGCTCCGTGTAGACGCGTAAAGCTTCCTTGGCCTTGACGACCTCCAACGCCGGTCGTCCACCTTGTCGAGACCCATGGCCGAATGGGTCAGATACTGCCGGAGGTTGTCGGACACGAAGGTCTGCGCCAGAGCCTCGAGGTGAGACCGATCTCCCATGGTCAGAGCCACCTCGTCGAACGGACTGGCGGTGAACCGCTCGCGCCGCAGCTTCTGGCACATTGTCGGAATGTCGGAAGACTTTTGACTGCGATGCCGGCGGGCAATTCGGAAATGGTTGGCCGTCTGCGGTGTTGTGTCGGTGCAGGGGTTCCGAATAACGTTATTCATAACGTGTGACGAGGGGAACGCAATGCTGTGGAGGCAGTGTAATGCTGGGTGGAGATCTTGTCTTTGGCGCTGGTCACGATCGTCGCAGTGGTCGCCCGTGCGGCAAACGCAAACGGGTCAAGCTGAAGCAGCTTCAATGACGAAAGCGGTCTGTCTCGCTTCCAGCTGGTATCTCAGACCAAAGGCAACGAGCGGTGAAGGAAGAAGGAAGGCAAACGCTATGTTGGCTTTGGTGGCGTTTATTTCGTTCGTGCTCAAGGTCACGCAAATCCTTGCAAACGTGCTTTGTTGACCGCAATCTGCGGATAAAAACAGGAATTATGCTGGGGGCGCAGTGATTTGCCTGCAACAAAATTGTTCCGATACTTTTATTTTTAATCATTTACAGAGGTCGCGTTAGTTAGCAATTGTATCCAACCGTCAATTTATGTCCGCATGTGATTTAGAAGGTAGTTGGGCAATACTTTAATCCCGTCTAAATTCCGGCTCGTTGCCTTTCGGTGGGGAGGTCACGCAGTGTACCGCTGCGGCAGCTGGCGCCAAATGATCGATCGCCAGGCCGCGGTTAACTCGAGAGATCATCGGAGCTGGCCTTCCAGGCCTCGGGGTCTATCGTGACAGGGGCGCGTGGCCATCTTCCCCTCACAACCACCCCAAGAAGTTCCCGGCACTGCTGCCCATAGTGTGCAAGCAGTGCACTTTTATTTTCTGAAGTTGCAGTGACCATCAGCGGAATGCAGACAGCGTCGAGCTTCAACGATCCAGGTGAGCTGCTCGATCGATCTTTGAAGGTCGCGCTTAATCTCGCTTTGCATCGCTGAAGTTCACCGATTCAAGGCGTCAAGCCAAAAGGCTATGGTGGGTTGGCTGATGCTTACTCCTCGCCTCTCGATTTATCAGTCGAAGATCTCGCCATCCGTGATTACAGTTGTAGTTGTAGCCGGAGGTTTGCTTGCTTGCCTGGCCCCCAGCCGACCGAGCCAAGGGAACTGACGTGCTCCTTTTGACTGGAAGGAGACCACACTGCTTTCCCGCAGTGAACACCTCTTCGCTTTCGCGTCGCAATATTGGTGGCCCCAGCTGTATTGGCGGGAAGCTAGCACGCCTCAAGTTACTCAGTCACTAAAGACACTGGCATAACTGACCTCGTGGTCATCGCGGCAGAGTAACAAGCCCTCAGCACCATCAGATGCATTGTGTGCGAGTCTCAAAGGCAAAAAAATGGCGTGCGTTATCAAACTTCAGCTAACTACTGTTGCTCGTCTCGGACGTTGTAGACATCGACGGGTGGTGGTTAACTGGGTAGCTCTCTAAGATCTGGGCTCTAGCAGCCTCTGACGCGTCGGATTTGTTCACTTCGGCCAGACAGAGGCCGCAGAACGTCACGTTCCGCTTGGCCAGCAGCAGGTCGGGCGTGATGAAGCTGATCTTCTTGTGGATCTTGCAGCTGTGGCACACGAAGCCGAAGCAGAGCTTGCACGTGGCGTCCGTCTTGCCAAAGTCTCCCAATTTCCGTCCCGTGATCGAATGTCTGCACGTCACGCACTGCGCCTTCTTGTTGGGTTTGCCCAGCAGTCGAGACTCCTTGTACCTCTTCTCCAGCATCCACGCAAGCTTCTTCATCTGTCCACAGTGCGCGTACTTGAGCGTCGACAGGAAGGTATTCGCCATATTCGGGATCACCAAGTGCCGGACGAGACCTCCCGCTGGGTCCATGATGCCGGTAACATATATCTCCGTAGTTCCCTCAGTAATCTGCCGGAAGAAGCCGCAGATGGACAAGTTACCGCGAATTCGGTTCGGGAGCTCGTGGGTCTGTGGGAAGTTGATGGAGTGCAGCAAGTGATAGCCGACCCGGTCACCGTTCGGGAGCGTGAGGATGTCCGTCGCCTCGGCGTAGATGTAGTCGCGGTTCTTGACGAGGTTCGTAGTGTGCAGCGGGATGTCGAGCTCCATCCACTTGACCACGAGCGACTTGAACGGCTCGTCTAGTGTCGGCTCCTCGACAGTGGCCAGCACCGCCGCGCCACTGAGGTCGTCCACGTAGGAGGCCTTGATCCGCATCACCTCCAGCGTTGGGTTCACCACTCCAAACATCAAGTCCTCCAGCTGTCCAGCCGTCGTGCCAACGCACAACAACGACGGGAGATCTCGCGTCTCTTGGTTGCCATTAGAGCGGGGAGAAGCGGACTTCTCCATGAAGACTCGAGCGTTCTCTCTAGACTTAACCAGTTTCCACCGCGACAGATCCACCTGACGCTGCTCCTTCTCCACGAACGCCGTGTACCGCTCCAATCCCGCCTTCACAAGGGAGATGGCCAAGTCATGGAGCTGACGTTGGTCGGACGGCGCCAACGGCACAGTCGGGAACGGGTTTACCACGAATCGCCCCTTCATTCCGACGAATTGGCTTTGGGGTGGTGCTATCTCGGTGGCAAGATGGAGAATGAGCCGGAGTCTTTGACTCAGTGCAGACACCCGGAAGTTATCCCTATATCGACTGTCCCAGAGGGGTATCGAGCACTGACGCTAGTGCATTGTACGCCACGAAGACCTGACACTGTCCGCACTGCGCCGCACTTGAGTCCGGTGATCCCTTGGATTTTTGTCTGGAGGGTGGCACTCTTTAGGCGCTGGACACCCTTAAAAAAGAGCTGCTACAGTTTACCAGCGTTACCCATCAAAATTCACTTGCACATTGTATGATTACAGTTATACAGTATAGCAACATAGGTAATGAAATCAATAGAAATTTCTGAAACTCAAAAACGACATCTTACGCAGACGCTTAACTAGTTACATCGACATGCTGGACATACTTGAGGTAGTGCTTGCCGACGACGACAGCGAGTTGTGGACTTTCGAGTGGCCCTTTTTGCTGAGCATCATAGCTCTGGCCGCATCGGTGGAGCTCAAAGACATCACTTGCCCCACGCACGCGGAACAAAACGTCACCTTCCGCTGGGACAACTGCAAGTCCGGGTCCACGAAGCTCATCTTGCGGACGAGTTGGCACGCGCGGCATACGAAGCCGAAGCACAGTTTGCACGTGTTGTTGCTTTTGCCAAAGTCCCCGAGCTTCCGCCCCGAGATGGGCGAAAAGCACGTAACGCAGTCGCTCGTCTTGTTGGGGGTACCGCGCTGCCTCGACTCCTCGTAGCGCTGCTCGAGCACCCACGCCAGCTTCCTTATCTGGCCGCAGAAGCCATACTTGACGCTGGACATGAAGGCGCCTACCATGGCCGGAACCGCGACCATGCGGATCATGTCACCGCCCAGGTCCATCACGGCCGTACCCCACATGTCGATCGTGTTGGGGCCAGTCTGCTGCCAGAAGGCGAGCGCCGAGATGTTGCCACGCACTCGGTTCGGTAGGTGGTGGGTTTCCCGAGTGCATTACATGGTACCCCAAGCGTTCGCCGGTGGGGGTCTGCACGTGGCCCGTGCCTTCGAGGTACACGTAGTCGCGGTTCTTGACGAGCGGGATGTCAACCTCCATCCACTTGAGGACCAGCGTCTGGAACGGGTCGTCGAGAGAGGGCTCGACGAGCGTGTCCAGTACAGCGGCCCCGTCAAAGTCGTCGACGTACGACGCCTTGATACGCATAGACTCGAGGGTTGGACTCATGACACCGTGCATTAGGTCGTCCAGTTGTCCCTGAAGCGTACCGACGGCCAAGATGATCGGTAACCCGTTGCCGGTGATCAGTTCGCCGGAGCTTGTGGATGACGATCGCTCGGTGTACATGCGGATGTTCTGGCGCTCCTTGACCAGTTTCCAGCGCGAAGTACTTCGACTTGCATCTTCTCCGACTTGTAGATGGACCACTTGTCGAGGTGGGCCATGATGACCGAGTTGGCGAGGTCTTGCAACTGGACGTGGTCGTGCTCTGTGAGCGACAATTCCGCGAACGGGTTGACGATGAAGCGTCCTTTCACCATTTTTGTCTTTTGCTCTTGGACGCCCTAGCAGCGGTGGATGGATCGATGAGAATATGAAAGTGAGGGATGGTTGTCTGTGTCGATTGCGAACGGAGGTCGCGGCAGGGAAGATATCAGCCAGCTGCGCGACCACCATCGTGTATCAGTCAGATTCTCGTCATCTGTCCTCAGAATCGCCCTAAACAATACTTACTTAAGTATGATACATGCACCCCAACTCAACTCCAACCGGAAAGGAAAGGCAGGCTAGACTTTCCATTGTAGCACGTCAAGCAAACAAGTATCAACCACAACTGCAATATCTCGAAGTAGTGTACCCGTTGTTCTCGCTAACTAAGCGATTTGGTAATCAACACCTTAAGGTTGAGCAGCTGCATACCATTCGACAAGATCCCAAGGATCCACAGCACGAAAGAATAATGCGAAGTTAACAAGTTAGCAAGTTGAAGAGTCTGGCAGACGCTAGGTAGAGGACGTTTAAAGTTCTAACCACGCAGCTGCACACATACCTGCTAGGAATTGCCTAATAACATTAGTCGGACATCATACAACTACTCGTGCTGAATCCGTCCGACGACATGGACGACTGCAAGCCCGAATGCGGCCTGTACGCCTTGCCACTGGCCAGGAGCTGCGCTCGGGCGACTCATACTGTGACCCCGCTGATGCACCTGGTACAGAACGTAACCGTGCGCTGCGAGAGCAGCAGGTCTGGGTCCACGAAGCTCAGCTTACGGGCAATCTTGCATGCGTTGCACATGAACCCGAAGCACAGCTTGCAAGTGCTTTTGCTCTTGCCAAAGTCACCCGGTTATTGGCGCCGAACACGTCACGCAGACATTTTTCCACCGTGCTGCTTGGACTCGGCGTACTTCTTGTCCAGCATGAAGTTAAGCTTCTTCATCTGTCCGCAATAGGCGTACTTCAGCGTGCAGAAGAAGACTCCGGTCATGTTGGGGACAGCGATCATCTTGATCACATCACCACCAGGATCCATCACGGACGTACCAAAGAGCTCCATAGTGTTGGGCCCGACCTGGCGCCAAAACGCAAGCGCGGGCATGTTGCCGCGCACGCGGTTGGGAAGATCGGGTGTCTTCGGGAAGCTCACCGAGTGCATGAGATGATAGGCCAAGCGCTCGCCCGTGGCATCGATGTACACGTATATAATAGTCGCGGTTCTTGACCAGGTTCGTTGAGGCAAAGGGGATGTCGACCTTCATCCATTTGACGGTCAGAGCCTGGAACGGCTCGTCCAGCGATGGCTCGACTATGCTGTCTAGCACAGCAGCTCCACTGAAGTCGTCAACGTACGAGGCCTTGACGCGCATGGCTTCGAGTGTGGGGCTGACGAGACCGAACATCAGGTCGTCCAGTTTGCCCTCTTTGTTACCGATGCCCCAGGTTCCAGGCAAGCCGTTGCACGTGATGTTCTCGCCCGCGGACGCAGTTCCTTGACGCTCGACGTACATATCGATGCCTTGGCGCTGCTTCCAGAGCTTCCAACGTCGCGGATCCACGCCCTTCTTCTTCTCGTCCTGGTACGTCGTGTACTTGTCGAGGTTGGCCCAGATGAGGTTGTTCGCCAGTTCCTTGAGCTGCTCGTGGTCGTGCTCGGTCAGCGCGAGCTCCGTGAACGGGTTGACGATGAATCGCTCCTTCACCACGGCTACCAGAAGTGCGACGCTGCTAATTTGGGGAGAACGAAGTAGATTGCGAACTGGACAACCGCTGGATTGTAACCCTCCACGAGACCATGGCGAGTGTTCAAGCCGCTAGATAAGACCATTGCTTCAACTCCCCAAGCCATAAGACATCCTCGGCAGTTTGCATTGGGAGAATGAGAGCTGCTTGGACCTTGCTTGGAGCTGCAGGACAATTCGAGTTACCCTCGGCGAGACCAAGCCGACTAGCGAGTGTCCAAGACGGCAGATGAGACCATTGCTTCACCCTCGACTGTTTCTCTACAAACGATTTCCTTGTCCGGAATATTCCTCCGCCAGTTCAAACCAAACCAAAATTGCCGTTTCAATCAGTTTCAGATTTGAAAATGCTCATTTTGTAGATCCAAAGTGGTCGGTTAGGTACGAGTGGTGACCGGCTCCGTGATATCATTCACTGGGGACTTATCACATTCACCCTGCTATTCCCCCGCAGAAGACGTACATCGGCAATTCGCAAGAGGGTGGAGGCCCTCGTTCTTCTATTGGTCACGAATTACCCCCGCCTATTTTATCGAGGTGGCTTCAGCTCGGAGCTACGGATTGAAGCAACACCAGCGGACCACCCGGTGCTCGGGAGGATGACTTCCAGTTCGCCACCATCTGTACAGCTGACGTCAGGATCGAGGGCTCTCTCACGGGACCACGTTATCAGCAGTCATCCTCGACTAAGTTCGTGTCCGCGACAGTCGGGCCCGAAATTCGAGTTCACTATGTACATTTGCACCCGCGTGTCAGTCGTCTGGTCTGCTTATGGGTGGGTAATCAGCGATGGATCAAACCGCGTCGACATTTTCGAACTATTATTGCTGCATCGCGGAGGCGAGGCTTCGCCTGTCGAGCGCGGCGCCAACAACACTGGGAGCGGCAAAGTCCTTCGGCTGCGACAGGTCTCTCTCACCTTGAATGGTCACGGATCCGGCGCATTGTCGGTCTTAACCCGTGGGGGGAGCAGCTCCTGTTTCGGCTCAAACACCAGGCGCTATCGCCATACGATCGCAGTCGTCAACAAGTTGGATGTCCTCATGCGGTGTGCGTTCGGCAGGACCGAGTGGATCTCTACCATGTATTCTGGAGTTGTCCAGCAGCGGTTCGGATGCGCACGCGTTTCCTACAGAGTTGGATGACATTGGGATTGCCTACGTCGGGGCTGGAGGAGGCTGTCTTTGGCCTCACGCTGCCAATGATCCCTGCGGGGGTATGGACAATTGCGCAGCAGCTCTTCCCGACCGTAGCCGGCCTCGCGCTGGACAATCTCACTGTCGCACTCACGCGGGTGATGGATAGCTGCTGGAGAATCGGAGCGGCCCTCTCTTTTCACGCAGTGTGGCGGTGGCCAGTTGTTTTTTTCGACCCGCTCAATAATGTGTCGTTTGACTATCATCTGGATATCTTCAACACTCGACTGCGGCACGGATATGCCACTGTGCACCTCCACATTGCCCGGGGTCCACACGCTCCTATGCTTGACCGAGCGGCACAAGTGGCGCGCAAAGCGCTTCATTCGATTCCGGCCGTGCCAACCCCAGCAACATTTGTTGGACGTTCGAAGTATCTCCTCTTTTTTGATGGCGGCTCCCGTGGTAATCCCGGGCCTGGAGGGAGTGGAGCGTTCGGGTCGGCGAAGGGTGGGGTGTTTTCGAAATCTGCTGGGTTATCAGCATGTACCTTCCACAACGAACAACATTGCAGAGAACATGGGGCTGCTTATGGGGTTAAAGGCCTGTCATCGCCACAATTGGAGACCACTCCACGTGGTTGGGGATAGCAAAATTATCATCCATCAGCAGCAGAAGCGGCGACCACCAAAGGCTAAACACCTCACTCAGCTATACTGGCAAAATCGGCGGGTTGTGGACCAACTCTCGGTGATCAGCTGGCAGCATCACATACGCGATTTCAACAAGATGGCCGATGCGCTCGCCAACCTGGCGATGAATACACGGCGTAGCATGCAATGTAAACCCACTCGAGTCATCGGCTCCGCCTCGATCTGGGAAGATCTTCATGCCTACGCAGCCAGTGACGTGGGGCACTGGCTGGAGCACATCAGCGATATGAACGCTTCGGGGTTCGGGGCCTTCACACCTTAACGGTTGGGGGCAGCCCTGAATGTGTAGCCACTAGGGGTAATAAAGCAGGGAGATCGGTTAGAGACGACCTCCGTCAAGGTCATCGATGTCGTTAGCCACGAAGTTAAGTGACAACAATGTACCTCAATGCCAAAACAAAACATAGGTACGAGTGGTGTGAACCACACGCCCGAACCAGCCAGCCGAGGAATTATTTTCACTGAAATTTGACAAAATGATTGGGATAGCTTGAAACTGCTGACTCAGTGCTTTGGTAAATAGTAATAACACAGTAGTATTTGTGCAGCCTTTAGATTGCTATGTTATTCCGTTGTGATTGTGCTCGCGGTTCCTGAATTCAGAGCTTCAGGGTCTCTACACACAGCAGTGACTTGCGTTTGACAGACGCGCTCGCATCTCAAGATTGCAAAGGTTTTTGCTCAGGATAGCTAATGTACAAGATGCGGTTTATGCCAAGGCCAATGTGTCGCATCCGTACATGTAGCCTAGCGAGGCCTGCCATCATCGATGCTAAGTCGACGCCAGCGTTTTGGTGGAGCTGCATTCATGACGATTTGTTACCGTCCTTGAAGTAATCGGGCCGGATTGAGCCAATCGCGGCTCGGATCCGCGACTGAGGTTTAGAGTATCACTTCAACACTGTAGTTGCACTGAGATGTACCGGAACGCTCCTCACCTCTCCGTTTCACTTAACATGACTACAGAGCAACAATCCTTTGTGGTTGACGCCGTGGCATCCCTGTCAGCTAGGTCGTCATCCCCGGCCACCTCGTTGATGCCCTTCCGCGTTTGACGCGGCCGGGTCAAGTTCATTCTCGAATTTCCTGTCCAGCTACCAAGCCGACCAAGGGACAACGATGGAAGCCATGTCGCCGGCCACCCGCAAGCGGCTCGGGTACGAGTCCGGCGCCGCCTTGATGGCCGAGGGCCCGCAGGTCCTGCACGAGCACATCGCCACCAAACTCGGCAAGGCACTCGGCTTGGCCATGCCCCAGATGGACGTGCGCTTCAGCAACCTGTCTGTCACTGCTGACGTTGTCGTGGTCGATGAAGACAGCAAGTACGAGTTGCCGACCATCCCCAACACCCTCATGAAGACCTTCATCAGCCCGAAGAAACGCATCGTGCGCAAGGAGATCCTCAAGGACGTCAGCGGTGTGTTCTCACCTGGAAAGATCAGGGCCAACCTGGCTCCGGCAAGTCGGCCCTGTTGAAGATGCTGAGTGCTCGGTCCCCATGACCAAGAACATCACGGTCGAGGGCAACATCTCCTTCAACAACGTGCAGCGCGAGCAGATCATCAAGACGCTGCCCCAGTTCGTGGCCTACGTGAACCAGCGTGACAAGCACTACCCCGTGCTGACCGTCAAGGAGACACTGGAGTACGCGCACAAGTTTTGTGGCGCTGAGCTGTCCGAGCACGCCAAGAAGATGCTCTCGCAGGGTACCCCAGAGGAAAACGAGGAGGCCTTGAGAGCGGCCAACGCCATGTTCGCACACTACCCGGACGTCATCATCCAGCAGCTCGGACTCCAGAACTGCCAGAACACCATCGTGGGCGACGCCATGACCCGCGGTGTGTCCGGCGGCGAGCGCAAGCGCGTGACGACCGGCGAGATGGAGTTCAGTACCAAGTACGTGACGCTCATGGACGAGATCAGTACGGGTCTCGACAGTGCGGCCACGTACGATATCATCAACACGCAGCGTAGTGTGGCCCACAAGCTGCGCAAGACCGTCGTCATCGCTCTGCTTCAGCCGTCTCCGGAGGTTTTCGCGTTGTTCGACGACGTGATGATGGTCAGCTGATGTACCATGGCCCGTGTAGCAAGGTCGAGGAGTACTTCGAGTCTCTCGGGTTCAAGTGCCCGCCTCAACGTGACATCGCCGACTACCTGCTGGACCTGGGCACGCAGGTGCAGTACCAGTACCAGGTCGAACACCCGACGAAGCAGCCTCGCCGGGCCAGTGAGTTTGCCGACACCTTCAAGGAGTCGCGCATCTACATGGAGTCGATGTATGCTCTGGAGGCCCCGTACGACCCCGAACTGCTCCACAGCGTGGAACAGAACATGAAGCCGATGCCCATGTTCAGCCAGTCGTTCGTCGACAGCACGCTGACGCTGCTGAAGCGCCAGCTCACCATCACATACCGCAACAAGCCCTTCATCTTTGGACGCGTGCTGATGATCGCAGTCATGGGGCTATAGTTCTGCACCGTCTTCTACGACTTCGACCCAACGCAGGTCTCCGTTGTGCTGGGTGTGGTCTTCTCTTCGGTCATGTTCCTGTCCATGGGCCAGTCGTCGCAGATCCCGACGTACATGGCAGAGCGCGAGGTCTTCTACAAGCAGCGCGGTGCCAACTTCTTCCGTACTGCATCTTACGTGCTGGCCACCTCGGCGAGTCAGATCCCGTTGGCGTTCGTCGAAACGATCATCTTCGGCTCGCTGGTGTATTGGCTGTGTGGATTCGAGTCCGAGTTCCAGCTTTTCATCATCTTCGAGTTCGTGCTCTTGGTGATGAATCTGGCCATGGGAATGTGGTTCTTCTTCCTGAGCTCCGTAGGCCCGAACGAGAATGTCGTCACCCCGTTGGGTATTGTCTCGGTGAGCTAAAGCACGGTCAAATATAGCTGCGGGATAGCTACAGGATAGTAGCGACGCTTCATTTATATTGGTTTTTGTATGTGCAGCAAATTTAGTTTTGTTGAGGTTTTGTTTTGGTTCTGTTCAACTTGAAAACTAATACTTTCACGAACCTAAGCTAAGTTCGCTTTTAGTTTTGGTTTTTTGTTCAAACGGGTGGGATTGCTCTAAGAAAGCCCAAATAACCACTGGTATTCTATCTGAAATAATTAACTGGGCATCGCATTTTTTGCGCAATATGAAATAAATGCGTGCACCAGTACGAACAGTATTTGCTGTTATGAGCATGCGCAAGTTGCTGCAACACGGTATAATATCATCCTCAACGAGATGTTTACACGGACTGCATTTATTTTTTTGGTACGATGTCTCTATTTCCAAACTACATTTATTCTGGGAAAGCAGTAAAGCTGCTAGCGCAGCCCAAATGAGGTGAGGCGGGTGAACGCCTTGATCGTCCAGGTGTATAGCGCACTATGCCGGACCGAATCGGTTCGGAGTACCAGAGATATCCGCTGCAATCCGGTAGTCCTCGGAGCACAGGATGTGAACAGGGGGCCGGGAGGATCGCTTGGACTTGGCGTGTGTCCTTGTGTCAACCCCTATAGGTATCGTTTACCTTTGGCGGACCGGACTTCACCGAGTGAGTTGTTGAAATACAGAATCGAGTCTGCTGCGTGTGTTCCTGAAACAAACTACACCGAATGAACAGAAAGTCAGACCGAATCGAAGGTACCACAGTCAGGTCCACAATTCAGTATAACCAACACACAGAAATACAATGCCGAGCTAAACGTCACAAAATATACAGCCACCACTTATTCTTTAAGACCCTTGGGTGGGGGGCTATACGCCAGTCAACTTACGAGCCGTCACCCAAGGCACTGGTCAACCCTGGATGCACACTCACTTACGCGCACCACCCTCACAGAGTGAGGGAACAATACAAAATATAAGTCAATCCTATCACACAGTAGTCAATCAATTCAGTCTCGGGGGTGACTACCTCTACCGCCTAAGACACACAGGATGTAATATGAAATGGATGCCCGGATAGAGCACGCAAATTGGAAATAAAGCTCTCATAGATCACTCCAGGGCGCGACACCCCAGTCCCTGCCGACTTTGCCTTGGTATCTTTGAGTCCCCACTACACCAGTGCTCGCAACACCAGTGAGGCCTTGAAACATCCTCCGTTTTAAGATCGCACGAAGGCGGATCCCACGTATAAGCTCTTGAAGACGTCAATGTCAGGGGGAATTCCCAGCCCGAAGAAAGACGCCCACGTGTTCTCGGCAAATTGGTTTCTGTTTGATCTTACGTTTGGCTAGCTATCTGTTTCACTTCACTGACTTCTAATAAAGGTTTCACTATGCTTGACTTGTCTTGGATATGCTTCGACCTTGTGCACGGGACTTCGATCTTCTTGCACTGAGCTTGGTTATCGGGCAACTTGTCGACGTCAACGTTCCTTCGGCAACACTCATCATCTGGCGACAGAGGTACGTGGGTACGGCGTCTCATCAAATCCGCACCGGACCTCTGCGTCTAATCACGTGAGCCATCCTGTGTCGCTTGACGTTCTTGGTCGATCCGGTCCTGGATTGCTGCTACACACACAGCAGTACTGGACTTGTTGTTGGTGCGGTCACGATCCAGTATGGGCAGCAGGGGTCAGACCGAATTGATAATCCGGTCCGGCCTCATTCGGTACGGCACCTTGGCATCCGGTGCGTCGCTACCGGGTGCACCACAATCCAGTCCGGCAAACAGTGTTCTTCGTCCAGCGAGGTCTTGGGCGCATGGGAGCATGGTGGGCATGGGGAGCTTGGGGGTTGGTCCGATGTCTTGACGGAGCCAATGCAGGCAGCAGCCAGGATACGTTCACTGGCTGCACTTGCGCGCCTTAGGCTTATCCTGCGGTCAGGGAAGTCGGCGGACGGACAGGATGTGTTACTCCACACCGAATATGAGCGCTCATCCGGTGGGCACATCTCCGATCCTGTGAGCCCATGCTTACTGCAAGCACCGGGTCCCGCCAAATCCACCATGCGCATCCACTATCCACATGCAACACTCCACGTCACTGGATATCAGTCCACTGCGACCAGTCACAGTCAGTTGACGATTCGGTCTTTCCGGCAGTCCAACACGGGTACGGCGAAAAATCTTCTTCCACATCGTGCCACAAACCCGATCATTTGAAGCCGATCAGATGAAGCCTCTCGTTAAAGTTGGGTTTTAACTATTTAGAAGGTTCTAGACTCAGAAATTAAGATACAGGAATTGCTGAAGGTGAAGATCTCACATCAGAATCTCTTACTCAACTCGAAAAGCTCAATCTCGCTCAACTCGAACGCGGCTCATTCCTGAGTTTGCAGGATCCGTGGACGAAGGGCCTGTAGAGGAGGTAGGAGCGGTTGGTATTCCGCAAGGCTATCCTATTGCTACTTTGTCACTTTAATAGGGCTGGGTACTTGGCTTCACATAACCTTGGTCTATTGAAGATAACCTATTTTATCTAAAGGTATTATGGATGCATGGAAACCAAATGATAATTTTATTTTAGGGAATGCACCATTTCCTGGGTCCGATGAGCTTCTACACTTTGTTCTATCGCGAAAAAGCTGGGTTATGTCGGCGGAATGGCAGATGTAAGACAATAGTGGAGAAGCTTAGACCCTTGTATTTTGTTGAGTCCTCAAGACGACCAACGAATAAAGTTGCTTCAATATTAGTGCAGAATAACAGACAAGTTGTATAGTGCAAAAAGTATAACCACCGAGCACTACTATTTTATATAGTATTTTTGTAGGTAGCACGCTACCTACGTGTACTATTTGTAGTATTACTATAGTTCCAAATTTGACTTGAAAATGGTATGAACGTGCCAGTACTATACTACAATACCTGCGTCAGTGAATTCAGGCAAACTGTTACAATCCTTTTGTCAAATCTCAGTGAAAATCACTGATTTATGGAAATTCCTCCCAGCCAGCCACTCGTCGTTCTTCCCCTGAGAGCTCAGAGCCCCCGAGCAGCCAGCGCTGCCAATAATTTGATGCACGTCGTCGCCTTCGAGCCAGCCCCGCCCCGGCGAACCCGCCCCGGGCCGTGTCGCTCAACCCATCCCTCGGCGGACGCACGGTCCGCCTCGAGTGCCCCGATGAACTCTCTGGCGACTAGACGGGCTTGGTGTAAGCGACGTTGAGCCACGAAACGAAGCTGCTAGAGCCCACCGACCGCAGCCCTTTCGTCGATGATGACGATGGCGTGCGTAGGCCGGCTTGGCTCGCCACTCTGGTCTTCCTGCTCCCTGGCCAGCGTCGTGTCGACGTGTCGTCGGCTCTGCCCGAGCACGTAGATGTGCGGTATTGGATCCCGTACTGGCGCCTCACCCAACCAGCGCAGGACCTGTCGGACGAGCTGTCAGCCCGGCCGTTGCTGGCTGAGTTTCGGTTTGTGCGGTTCGTCAGTTTCTACGTGGCGTCCGCCTACTGTGACACCAAGTTTGTGCTGAAGACGTCGGACGTCTACCTCTGCGGTCAAGTTCTCTTGTATGAGCGCTCGTCGCGATCGCGTTGGTGGATGACGGTGATGTTCTTTTGGAGCCAGGCCCCCCTTACGTCTGTATCGTGGTTGTACGCGGCTACGAGAACGAGCCCCGCCGTACCGTTGCCATCCCGCTGGATGATGGCCGGGCCCACAGCATCTCGACCCCCGAGTTCATGCTTGGGTTTTGCCACGGCTTACCTGCAGGGCTTCGCCCTCCTCGGTTCTCCGGTTCGTGGTCAGCGTTCCTCACATCGACTCCGACATCGGCCGCCGCCGCTCGAGTGAAGCTCCAACAAGCATTCCCCCACCCACGCGGTACTTCGGAGGCGACAGTTGACATCGGCCAACGCTCGGTGTGCTACGTTATGACCCGGGGTGAGAAGACAAACATTCACCCTATCGATTATGCATTTGGCATGGCATCTCCGCCGAGTTAGGACGATGAACACGCATGAGGCGAGGCGGGTGAACGCCTGACCGCCCAGGTGTATAGCTTGGTGCGTCCCGGGTGCAGACTCCCGAAAGGGGTGCACCCAGAACAAACCCTAGCCGGAGATAGTACATCTAAATGTACACTCCAACCGGGGTGGCGTGTGTCCTTGTGAACAATCCCTGTGGGTTCGTTTGTCTTCGTAACGAGGGGTCTTCAACCGTGGGTGAGTTGTCTTGATACTTGTAGGTCAGTAGGTAGCAGGGCAGAACGTAACCTTCCTGGACGTCGCCTCTGACAGCCCTCAGACAACCAAACAATACAAACAGATACAGAGTTATATACAAACACGTAGCCCTTCCTTATTCTTTTGGACCGTGAAAGGGTCGGTCACTACTCCAGTCAACTCCAGCCGGACTCCGGGATACTGGTCAATCCCGGTTGGCTTTGGCTCACGCGCACCACCCTCAAGTACTAAGAGAAACTAACACAATCAAATACCTCCTATCATACAATAGCTCTTAAATCAATACTTCCCACCCGGGGCTACTCCAACCGGGGTGACAAGGTAATCGGTAATATGAAATGCGGGGCCTTCCTGGTCTGGACGAGCTAACCGCAACTAGGAAATGGAATGGGATGGATCAACCTCGGGTTGTCGCCCGGTACTCACCCCAACTTGGACTGGACTTTGTTGCGGGAGCTCGACCCAGATGTCACAGTTGCTGGGCCCTCACACGTAGACTTAGTCGGTCCTCCCGTCCGGTAGGCTGCTCCAACTGACTTGCGCGATCCTTGCCAAAACGAACTCTGTTTATCTGTTATCTGTGGTCTCTCTCTCTCTCTCTGTCTGGCTATCTTCTGTCGATCTTTACATGCACTCCATCTTGACTTGTCTTCGCTATGGTCTTGTCGTCGTAATCGTCCGCGGTCCCTCGTAACATACTTCCAGCAAGTATAATCATCACTGGGTACGCAAGCGAAGTTCAATGTTCCACGGAATCCGAACAGATCTTGGCTGGTCGGCTTGGTCGGTCGGAAACATCTTGGACTTTGTATACTGGATCTTCGCATCTGGGATGGTATCTTGGTATCTCCATTCGGGATTCATGATCATCTCCAAACGGGATCACACTCCACTTGGGCTTCACATCCGGGGTATCTTGGACAGCTTCACGGTTTCTGGCTCTTCACTCAATCCGGTCGGGCTCCTCTTGCGTTGTACAGTGCACCAAGAGCAGGCGACCTCCAGTCGGAGGCACTTTTACGCTCCCTTGGGCTTTGCCTCTCGTTCGGTACTTGGTTCCAGCCGGAGTCCGCTCTTGGGGACATCTCCATCCGGGGTCACCAAACCTTGTACACCGCCAACGCGAGTCCGGCCGGGATCCGCTCTTCCCATATACCACGTGTCGCTGCCTCCCTCTCCCATAGTGAGCCTCTGAGCCAACCAATCACAGGCGCGGCTCGGGGAATCCTCGAAAAATCTCCAATTCCATCGTGTCACGCAGCTCACGATCGTTCTGAGCCGGGCTACCCTTTATCATTATTGACTCGTGAAGAAACTTTATTGACACCAGTTGATGTGATGTTCCCTACCCTTGTGAGCGGACATACTCTTCCTGCGGGGAATCCACCTTACCTACCGTCGATGGGTTTTCCGGCAACTGGCTCGGTACCGGCAGCGTCGACGACGCCGGAGCTTTCTGCTGGCCTCGCAATGATGACCACCCTGTTTAACGAGCAGCGCGAACAACACCGTGCGATGGAGGCACGTGTCTCGGCTCTCGTGTCATTAGTGCAGCAAGGATTGCCGACTCGCGTGGCCCATGTGCCCTTCCAGCCCCAGGCCCTATATGCGCCTGCGAGTGACCCGCCTGTGATTGGAAGTACGGCGGAACCAACAAGGTCTATGCCAGAGCCAAACTATTCGAGCCAAGTTAATTCAGCGCGACGGTCGCCTCAGCGTAGACAGATCGTGGCGTCTCGAGGACGTACCCACACCCGCGGCCGTTCTTCTCGTTCTCCTTCGCGGGAAACCCCTCGAGGCTCGCGTGCTTCGCGTCGTAGCCGATCTCGCTCTCGCTCGCCTCGTTCCGACCGCGCCAGTCCCGTCCGTGACCGTAGGCACTATCATGGCCACGCCAGGCGTGAGCACCGTTCGCGCCGGCGCTCTCGTTCACGCGGCCGGGCCCAGCGGTCGCCGTCTCGCTGCTCACGCAGCCAATCGCCACAAACCCGTGACACAAGTCGTGGTCGCGCCCAGCCTCATGTACGTCTATCCCGAAGTCGTGAACGTGTATCTACGAGTCGTTCAGGCTCTCCGCACAGACTCTTGCGCAGCCATTCGTCGGATGCAAGACGTCGCCCTCGCAGCCGCTCGGGTAGCAACAGGGTCCAGGGTCACACTTTCCACCGACGCCATCTACTCTCGCCGCGTCATCCAAACCTGTCGGTCAGTTGCAGTCGGTCGCCATCACGACTTCGGCGCTCAAGGTAGTTGACAAAAAGCGTGTCGGTTTGCTCAGCGATCGAACGTGCAATCCTTGACCACTTGGTATCGAACGCACACTGGTGCTCCATTCTCGGGCGGAATCTGATCTCGAATTTTAGACGGGATGACCGACTGCTGGCGACCACGTAGTCCGTTGGGTTGGGTCCGTTGTCGGTCCGTAGTGCGGCCTCGATTGAGCCCGGAACGATGCGATCCTCGAGAGTCAGCTCCGCCGTGGCCATCATAGACAGACCGAAGAACGGCATCGTTTTAAAAAACCAGAGGACGTACTGCTGGTACTCATGGGAATCCGGACGAAGCATCCGTGATGACCGGGGTGCGAGATCTCGAGCGTGAAGGCCATGACGAATGTCCTCAAATAGACCCGAAAAAACCGCTTGGTAGACGTTGCACATCGCGTTGAGTAGTTGCAATGGGGCCGACTTCGGCACATGATGCAACGCGTGATCGTGTACCGCACGGAAAATGTCCGCAACGGCGGACGGATACCATTCAGCAGCTGCGTCCTGGATGACGTGGAGAACGCGGTGGAGATGATCAGCTCTGCGAATGACATGCGCTGGGACTGTTTCGTGGCCACCCCAGAGGGTATCATCGTGAACTACAGTCCAATCCTGACGAACCCCCCCAGCATCCTCCGAGGACAAGAAGTGGCCAATGGGGCGGCTGTGAAAGTTGACGGCGTACAGCATCTTGATTGACACTTTAGTTACCCGGTAACGGCCGCGGAGACGCTCCCGTCGAAGCATGGTGCAGGCATGGTCATGTGGATTCATTTGCCGAAAGCGATCAAACTGATCGTCGTTACCGGTGGATTGTTCTGCTGGTCGTGGTCCCACGTGAGCAGTGTCGTCGATGATTGCATCATTCTCAGAAGGTCGGAACAGACTGTTACCGGTCGGCCGGTATAGCGGTGGTGATCGGGCGCGGGATCGCGATCTCAGGCGGTCACGGTCGCGTGGTCCGTCTCGACAAATACGGCCACCCACAGCGGACATGAAGTTGTTGGGGAGGGCTTGTAGGCAGATAGGAGTTACCTGGTAATACGAACTCAGCTTCTATCTGTCCCCCCGCGACCAATATGACATCCGCTTTGCCGGGCAACGGTGCCACATGCGACGGTGGAAGGGATGCTGTCGGACGGATCGTTACCATCTAACGCCAGCGCACCACCTCGACCCACTCATGTACCTTTGCTGGGCATAAATTTGGGATCTCAGCCGACGTTCAGTGTTTTGTGCCTCGGCGATTCCATGCGTTCCGCACCTTCACTGCCACTGGATCACCAGGTGATATACGCGGCCTTCGACGGTGGTAGCCGTTCTGCCACCGGTCAGTGCGCATTTGGGTGGGGTGTTTGGACTGCGACGTACTCCATTCCGCATTGTGCAGTCCGCTCATTCGATGAAGGTCAGACCAACAACGTCATGGAGGCCCAAGGCCTGTTGGCAAGTCTTCAATGGCTCCGGGGGAATTACCCTAGAGCTCGCGCTGACATTTTCGGCGATTAAAGCCTAGTTATTCGTCTGGTCATCATGGAGTTCCGTTGCAGTAACTCGCGTTTATGCCCTTGGGTGGCCGCTATCCGTGCGATGGGCACTGGGAGATCGCGATTTTACCTTCACCATGTGAGTCGCGACTATAACGTCGCCGCCGATGCACTGTGCAACTGGGCCATGGATACGCAGTCTCCTAGTGGGGCTATGTCCTATTCGGGCGCTTGTTGGCCGTGTCCAGCTCGATTCGGCCAGGGTATTTGCCCCCCCCCCCCCGTGTTGACTACCTATTCAACTGGATCAAGTGTCTCCCAATCCGATGGTCATGATCATGCTGCAGCGACCAGGTTGCTCGTGTTGTCGGAACTCGAGGTAGTGGCTCACTTGATTCGTGATCGGTTCGCTCCTGAGATAGACGGGAGCCATGTCTACCCTTCTGTGACCCTGCCTCCTGCTTCGCCCGTGGTCAACACGTCGGCACGCCATCAACCATCCCCGTTCGATTCTACAGTCCTCGTTCGTGTATTATCAACGGTATCCAACGCTGTGTACCCCTCGACGTATTTACCAGTCTTCGTCGATGGGCTCATCGTGTTGGTGTCCGCGTTTTCATGGATACGGCATTCCTCGCGGCTTCGTCGGGCCGGCTGACGATCCCGGAGGTGGATCTCCACATATTGGACGGCCTCGCCGCTGACCCTCGCCTCGGTATCGCCGGGACCCTCGAGTTGTTTCGAGGTCACACCTCTCAGGATTTCCGCCCGAACAGGGCCCTCCGGCCGTGGCTATATCGCCAGCATCTTTCCTCCCATCCGCAACTCGAGCTGCTGTGTAACATTGCTGAGAACGGCTTGGTCCCACATTGGGCGGACCCTGTTCTTCGGACCGGTGCCCTACCGTCGCCGCCTAACTACCCAGGAGCCAACCAAGGAGCTTCAATCGTGACACACAAGTTGCTCACAGACTACTAACGTGGAAGATGCATTGTGGCCACGTTGGCTACGTTGGCTTCTTGGGAACGATTTGCCCTTGGCCGTGGACGGCCGCATCATCCACGATCGATCAGCCCCAAGCTTTCGGCCAATGACCACACAGATGCTTCAATATCCCCGGACGCCACATGGGACCCGTTCGTGTACATTGCGCGGCGTATCTGCTACTTTCGGCGCCGTTATCCGGGATACGCTGTCTACGCCATGGTTGCGGATATCGCTGATGCATCCCACCTTGTTCCAGTACGTGCGCGTCATGCATCTGCGTTCTGGGGGAACTTGCTGCGTACGAACCATGGTATTGTGTCTGATATGGCTGTTTTCGGTTGGACCGCGTCACCTGGCTTCTTTGCCGTGTTTGGCAAAGCTGTTCGACACTACCAGCGTTCGTGTGCTTCGGTGGTACTGGGATATACAGAACCCTTCTGAATTTTTCAGTGGGTCGATGACATCCTGTTGATCGAGGTCGATATTGGTGATCGATTGAAACAAGCAGAGACACGTCTCAGAGACGGCATCATGCTCGTATTCGGGTCCTACGAGCTCGCTCCACCAGACCAAGTCCTTCTTGAGAAACTCAGTTAGTGACACGACTGACTGCCGTTGTCTCCGCAAGCTGTTCTGAACAGCTACTAGCCTCTGAAAGAAGGTTTTTGCAATCGGGATAAAGCTGATCACGTGTCGTAACACGCCCACCAGACAATCGAGTTGCTTCCTTGAGATCGCTCGTTTGGCAAGCAGGTTCGAAACCACTGCTTTGGTCCTGTCGGTTTTCCTTTGAGGAACCGATACTACTTCGCTTGGGATATCCCAGTCAATTCCCACTGGGTGGAACTCACGGGACCAGGTGCTAAATTTTCCTTCGTATTCCAGAACGAGTTTAGAGGCATGCCGATGCGCCTATTCGACACAGCTACGACGAACTCTGGCTAGTACAGAACCATCGATGCAGTGTAATGATCACGAGCACGAAGCTCAGAGAACGCGTCGAATTTCAACACCTCGACAATCCAGAAGGCCATGCCAGGGTTGCTCGATGCTGGGAAAGAGTGATGACGAGCTGGGGACCCAAACTGGCGATCAACGGCGCCTGGCGTCAAGTTTGGATTCACACAGATTCTGGAGACGTCGCAAGTATCATTCGTAGAATGAACCGCAGCGATATAGAAGCACAAGACGAATTGCGCCGTTGTGCATTGGGCCAGGCCCAATTTCGACTCGACGTTTGCACTCACCTACTTCCACGAAGCATGGTGCAGCGACGGTCATGCGTGCACATTAGTACTAATAGTATCGATTTGGAACAGATATCGAGCGGACCAGAAGAGTTGAACAAAAGACGCAGCAGCTCAAACGAGCGAGCGTCACCGAGGGGACACTGGGGAGGTACACCAGGAATTTCAAGTTCTGGGAGTCTTTCTGCACCGACTTCGGATTCCCGGTCTGGATCGACGAGCTGCCCAGGGCACAACAAGCACGGATGGTGGGACGGTTTGCCGGACAATGTGCTTCCGAAGGACACAACCGGAGTAAGATCGCCAACAAGTATCAGACCTTTGACGGAAAAATGGCAGCGGTGGTCTTCGCGCACAAGGCAGTTCCGAATGCCCGGCTCAACTACCATGATCCGGAATTTGACCTTATCGCTCAGGGACACAAGCGCACCAACCGTCAAGTGGAGCGGAAGCAACACAGATGCTGCTCAAAATCTACGAGCAGATAGACATCGCAGGTTTTGAGTCTCGGTTAGTGTGGGGTTCGATTGTGATGGGGTTCTTCGTTCTCGACCGTAGCTCGGAGCTATGGGGACCGGTTTCCACAGCACGTTCCGGCAGCGGCGACCGTGTGCACTGAATAAAAGCAGCCAACGTGGTTCTGCGAGATCGCCGTGGGGTACAGACCGGACCAGAGTCCGACGATGCGCACTCCGTGGACGTGATGTTCGAGTCACACAAAGGTGACCGTATAGGCCAAGGTACGGTAGTCCGTCACTACCGTTCGAAACATGCCCAGTGCTAGCTGCAACAGCGTGTCTACGTGCGCGACAACAATGGATTCGAGAGGGAAAGTCGCTGGGGCCATTCCTAACATCAGCATCACGGACGAAAACCATTAAAAAGACACCCGTTTCCACCATCATCAAAGCCGCCGCGCGAGGCTAGGCCTTCCCTCAAAGGACTACTCAACACATTCGCTTCGGATTGGGGGTGCATGTGCGTTACTTGCTGCCGGCAAGAGTGATGTAGTGATCCGACTGATGGACCGATGTTCAAGTTGGTGCTTCTCGGTGTATACCCGGCTGAAACCTGGTATGGTTCAAGACGCGTGATCAAGGCCTCGTCATGGGAGTGTCGCGAAACACCCTTGCTCCACTCGGGGGGAGGCTCCATCGAGGCTAACCCTCAAGGCTTTTGAAGTCCACTTGCCCATCTTTCGCACAGTGATGGCACGAAGGAGGAAAGAGGTCGGTTAGGTACGAGTGGTGTGAACCACACGCCCGAACCGTGGGTTTCCGAACCGGAGAAGAACGAAGAGCCAGCCAGCCACTCGTCGTTTCTTCCCCTGAGAGCTCAGAGTCCCCGAGCAGCCAGCGCTGCGAAGAATTTTTTTAGGGACTTGATTAATTACGTAGGAGTCCTGCGTTAGGACGGGTTTTACCCCTTTCATAAGGTTTTGTGCCGTGGTAGGATAGATAAATATGCGAGACTCCATCGAGGCTAACCCTCAAGGCTAATCAAGTCCACTTGCCCCTCTTTCTTACAGTGATGGTACGAAGGAGGAAACCAAGCATGCGAGCGCGCTGGTTTGAACCATTCACAGGTAGTGGGGCTTTTACAAAACGAGTCGCGGTTGGCTCACACACTTCACTGTTACCGTATATGAGCGCTCACAATTCATACCCCATAACCTTTAAGTTGCGTTGTTGTATTTTGGTTTTGCACCATTCCACCCCTTTATGCTGACTTTTGGATTTTCATGCCAAAAATGGCCATGTTCTGTCAAAACTGCACTATCTCTCCGCTATAAATTATGAGAAAGCTCTGAATTATGAGAGCTCATATACGGTATCGTACTCCTGTAAAACATGCCCACGATATGTAATTATAGAAAACACTTCGATCATTTCCTTTCACGTACATGTCATGGGGCAAGAAAGTAGTCCATTCAGATGTTACGCTGGACTCGGGGATCCAGGTCGATAGGAGTCAGCTCGTCGAAACTGCAGGATGACAGCGTCGACCGGAGAGCCGGGTCGTCGAGGCCAACCCCCAAATAAATGCGTGCAATGTGAATGGACTAGTTTGGAAGATAACAACGCATAGCAGTGAGAGAGTACGAGTACTAGCGCAACGTACATGGCTCGCATGACAATCCGACGTGCAGGAGGTTGCCTAGGTGGCCTCGTGCGTGCCTCGAGCTTCCGTCACCGCTTAGCGTCCAGTATGCCGACCACTGCCAGGGCGAGCTGCCGTGGGTGAAATCCTGTGAGCGGCGAAAACACAGCCTGGAAAGTGACCCTCAACCTCACTAGCGAGGACATTGTTGAAGGCAGGCGGTCGATGTGACGCGAACCTCCGAGGTGACTGTCTACATTACGCTCACACCCGTGTCGTACGAACCCTTGGTCAGTTCTTGGAGCCTTGTCGGTCGAATTGCTCTTGCACTTGCCCTTATCGCCGTGTAAACCTTAGCTCGGAATTCTGCTCTTTTGCTCGCGCGGTGCGATTCCGCCCGGGGGTGCGAGCAGCCCCCTAAATTAGGAGTAGTGTAGTGGGCCTACCTTGGCTCACTGCAACAGCTTACACGTGTGCGCACGTGTATGAGGAAGAATAGCTTAGTTTAATATAGAGTTAATTATACTCGGGCCCCCGAGTATAGATTAATCTAAATAAACTATCCAAATAGTGTTTTTTGGTTAAAATGAGAACTGCTAATTTGTTTTATGTTTATGACTTGTTTATGACTTCATCTGAATGTAATATTCTACGCTAGAAGTCTACCAACGGCTGGTTGGCAGATTTCTACGGCTATGCATGTCGCTCGTTGGCTTAAAGATGCTGCTTTCAGCCAATAGGAATCCTAAATGTGTATGGACCACCCGTCGTGGTGGTCGTAAATGCATGTAACCATTGATGTACCTTACACCAGGGTCGAGGAAGTGTTCAAACCTCTAACAGACATCGCATATGTTAGAGTAACTGTAGCCACTCGTGCGTGTAACCCCGTTACACCATCCCCCCGTCAAGGTTTGACGTGCCGGTCCCGGCACAACAACCACCATTGACCGCTTAGTCAATGCGTGACGTTGAAGAGAGCGCGCTCGTTCCGTAACGAGACCCTTGAAGTTGACGACCCCTGGCGCAGCAGCGGGGAACATCTCTGTTGCTGCGTATCATGCGCGACAGCGTGCGAAGCGCGTCGCTGCCACGGAGGCAGGCACCACAATCTGCCCTCGAAGTGTCTTCGGGCGCTGTTGTTAACAACAGTGTTCGCATTACTTTCCAATGTGTAGCGCATGGTGGGCTTCGTACGCCCTCACCATGTACGGAACGTCTTCGAGCAAGACGTTCCGCGCCTCCCATGTATTCTGGTCGGGAGGGAATCCTCTCCAACGGATACGAAAACGAACCGGTTGCCTGTTCGTTCTCGGGATTCTGTGACCAACAATACGCCCAACTATCCATTGAGTTGAGTCGTGTGCGTCACGAATTGGTGGCGGTGGTGGTGGAAACACGCCCCGTGTGTGGTCAACTTGGTGTTGACTCTGATCTCGCGTCTCCCCACGACCGAGTTCCGGTCGTGGAGCAGTTACAGAGCGCTGCGTTCGGCGCTCTGGAGCTTCCTTACTTTGCGACGGTCTCCCAGACTGCCTCGATCGTCCCGGCCGGGCTGGACCTCCAGCTGGACCTGCCGCTCCAGCGTGACTTCGCGCTGAAGGGGATGATGGCTTCCACCGAATCTTCTGCTTCGGTTCAGCCGAGCTAGGTAGCTCATGCTGCAGGTATGGCTTCAGCCGTCCGACGTAGAACGTCGGATGAAGGCGCATACTAGACGGTATGTTCATAGTGTAGGCGTTGCCGTACGGACCGATGAAGCGCGGAGCAAGCTTGCTTGCTCCTAAGCCGGACACTACATGTTTAGGTAAGTTTTAAGTAGCTAACAAGACTAATGAACCCTTCTCGAATTCATTAGTGTTGCCCCTGCCAACATTGTCTGCATTCAGCTTCTGCCGGTCGCCAGAAGCTTCAATAGTGTCTTGGACAAACCGAATGACGGCTTGTCTTCGCTGCACGAATGTAATTGTGTCCTAGCTGAACTCGTTCTTCTCGCTTCCAGCAGTAGGCCCTGCCTCTGCGTTGGTCTTCGTGGTATCTGTGCCCTGCACAGACACGCTCTTCTTCTTCTTGTTGGTGTCTGTGCCCCGCACAGACACGTTCTTCGTGCGCTTGTCGGCGTCTGTGCCCTACACAGACGCGTTCTTCTTCTTGAGCGTGGTCGCGGCTGACACTATGCAAGTGTCAGCGGCATTTTGCGGTTGCTGCGGTGCAGTCGGAGCTCCTCCCCCACTCAAGGAAGGAGCCACCATCCCGAGTAGACTCGGGAGGCTTGAGTGCCTCATGGCATTCACGTAGAAGGGTGTATGCCCGGTCGAGGCATGCACCGAGTTGTTGATGGCGAACTCCGCCGTCGGCAGGCACTCGCTCCAGTGTTGGAACGAGTGAGCGTAGCTCTTAAGCACGTCTACGAGCACGCAGTTCACGCGCTTGGTCTGCCCGTCCGTCTGCGGATGGTCTGCAGTCGACATCGAAAGTTGACTCCCCAGAAGTGTAAACCCTTCTTGCCAAAGGTGCGCAGTGAAGCGCGGGTCTCGATCCGACACAATGTCGATCGGCATGCCATGGTGTTTGAACACCATGTCAACGAACAGACGCGCCGTCTGTTTCGCAGTCACTTCAGCGGGTACCGCAGCAAGATGTACCATCTTGCTGAAGCGGTCAACAAAGACTACAACGCCCGTACCCCCTGGCTGTCCGGGGGAAGACCGAACACGAAATCCAAAGACATGGACTGCCAACACTCCCGTGGAGTTAGAAGTGACTGCAAGGGAGCCTGCGCGAAGGGCGCAGGCTTCACACGTTGACAAACCTCGCAAGCACGGACGTACTTGCGCACCCATTTATACTGGTGGGTCCAGTAGAAGCCTCGCGTAAGAAGAAGGTATGTCTTCTCACGGCCCGGATGCCCCGCAGTCGGTGCATCGTGATACTCGTACATGTTCCTGAGTCGCAGGTCATGGTCATTGGGCACGACAACGCGGTCCGCGTTGCCGGCGACTGCACTGTAGAGTAGTAACACATCGTGCACCCGATAGCGGTGTGCACTAGCACGAAGGTGTTTCGGCAGCTTCTGACGAGCTTGGTCAGAAGGCGAAGAGCCGTAGGCCAGCAAGAGATTCGTGTCCGCGTCGCGCGCGTACGCGGCCTTCACGTTGTCCATCAACGATGACGTGGGAACTCGATCGCATGGCACCAATGGCATTGACGTCGGCATCATTCGTAGCATAGTCGGGTCGACGCGATATCGCGTCGGCCACTACATTGAGCCTTTCGGGTTTGTACTTAACCCGGAAGTTATACTCCGCGAAGAACGAGAGCTATCTCGCCATCCGTTGCGAGATGTGCGGAGACTTCACAGCAGTCCGCAGCGACGCGAGGTCCGTATAGACAGCGAACGGTTTGCTTCCGAGTAAGTACACTCGGAACTTCGCGAGTGCATACTTCATGGCCAGGCGTTCCTTGTCATGCACCGGTAGTTGCGCTCAGCCCGCTTCAGCTGGCGCGATTGGTAGTAGACGACACGATCACGGCTCTCGCGATCGTGCTGCATCAACGCACATCCGATTGCGAAGTCGGATGCGTCAGATACAACGTCGAATGGACGATCTTGGTCCGCCACTGCCGAGATTAGCGCATCAGTCAAGCCCTGCTTGACTGCATCGAATGCCTGCTGACACTCAGCAGTCCAAACCCACTCGGCGTCCTTCTTCAGGAGCTGTGACAGCGGGCGTATCGTGCCCACATAGTCCTTCACGTACTTACATAAGTACGTGGCCAAGCCAAGGAACTGCTGCAGTTCCTTGACGTTCGACGGCGTCGGCCAATCATTGATCAGGGTCAGGGCGGACACCATTCTTCCCAACGAGATCCCCGAGCACGAATATCTCGCTCGCCCCGAAGATACACTTCTTCAGGTTTGCGTAGAGCTTATGCTTACGCAAGCAGCTTTCGGAGATGCACCTTGTGTATCCCGACGTCGCTCATCCCGTCC